CCCCCCCCAAACACACACACCAGAGGCTTGATGGGATCACCTGAACACAAATCTATGGCAGTGGGAGTTGTAAAGTTCTATGTTCCTTGGGGAGAATGAGTGAGATGAATACTAAAACAAGTGGGGTCAAGACCCCAGAGCTGAGACAGTAGGTGGTGCAAACCCCCATTACTGAAGAAAAGGGAAAGAATCAGTCCAAACACAATACCTCAACAAGCATGGAGACTCCAGAATAGTCAAAAAAGGTTACTCCACTGCAATCCAGGATTAAAAAGCATTTCTCACTGGGGCATGGCTGTGAAGCTTCTTCTGTAAGAGAAACAGAGACTTGGGTTAGAGAGAATTCGAGATTTCAGCTGCAGACTTTGTTGAACCATGGAAAGGTAACAGTGGCCTCGTGTGCAACAAGACTGGTTCCAAACACTCTTCGGGTCTTTTATTCTTCAGTGAATTACTAATGACTTCTGAAATCTTTAATTTTTAATTATTTGAACGTTATTTCAGGTAATTCTTACATAACTCCGAGAGGAACATGGGATAGGTTAATTACAGAGAGATGCACGGAAGCTCAGCACGTTTAAGTGATTTCGAAAGAACACCTGTCAAGTCTGGGCCAACCACAGACTAGAGTCGAGGCCTCCAGGCCTTCTGAATAGCACTCTGTCCACAATATCACCCAGGCTCCTTCACGGGTATGCCCTGAGGTAGAGCCCTGTTTTGTGGTGTCTGGAGATTCATTGCTGGGGCTTGTCTCTTGGGCTTGGAAGGGATGTGTGTGAGGGACCCTAAAAATTAAGCTTGATTTGGTTCACAGTAAATCTGCCTCTCAATGTACCCGATAGGGAAAAAAATTTACGTAGGAGATCAAGACCTCTTATTTGCCGACGTCTTGATGGCCACAGTTTCCTTGTGTGAAATGACTTATTTCTAAGCAATGACAAGGTCCCTCTAAGAACTGATATGGCTCTCAGAGCAGACCATGTGAGGTAAGATACTTCTATGGTTAGTAGGCAAAATCTATCATATAAACTCCAATTCATTAATTATTATGAAATTCTCTGAAGAAATAAATAATTTTTTAATGTTTATTTATTTATTTTGAGAGAGGGAGAGAGAGAGACAGCACAAGTGGGGGAGGGACAGAGAGAGAGGGCGAGAGAGAATCCCAAGAAGCCTCCTCATGTGTCAACCTGACATGGGGCTCCAACCCATGAACTGTGAGAGCATGATCTGAGCCAAAACCAAGAGTCAGATGCTTAACCGATTGAGCCGCCCAGGTGTCCCTCTGAAGAAATAAATTCTTAATTGGAATAGTTTTGCTATTTAAAATACCCATGTTTTTCCCCTAGCACGGCTACAAAAATGTGGGAATATGGTTGTTTCTCAGCACTGGAGGGAAGTGGAAGGGAAATTGTGTATTTTTTGAAAACTGCTGCTTAGAGGTAAAAAGAGTGTCAAACACTGAACATTTATATATAGCAGTAATTGTTAGGAAAAAGAGAACTGCTACAAAGTTATTCAGCTATAGGATTTGTTTCCAAGTTTCAGCTTCAGATTTATATTCATATTTATTATTTGAAATGACAACTATGGAGCACGTACTATGTTTAGGAAACTTTTTGAACACAGTAGTTCAAATGTAGTTCAAACTATAAGGTTTCAACACTGTACTGAGTGATACAAATGTCAGTAAAATACTATTCCTTTCTTCTAGGAGCTCATCCTTGAATGCCGAGGGTAGGATTGGTATATAAATGACATGACAAATGAAAAAGAATGGGAATATACAAGAAGAAGTCCCTCGAGTGATCACTCAAGGCTTCATGCAAAAGGAGCCTTGCAGGATGTATAGGATTCCAAAAAGTAAGACACACCGTGACTATTCCAACTATATGGACAGCTGTAATTAAACGCTAATGACAGTTTGAGATTTCAAACTCCTCCTTCTCCCAGGCAACCAACATATATTGAGCACCTAATGTGTGCCAGGCACTGCAGCAGTGCCTTCTGTTTTCCTGTTTCTTTCCTAGAAAGGAGGGCCAACAAGTATAGGTTTAGGCTATATACCATTGGCCCCAAATGGTAAGTTAGAACTTAAACCTAAAAGCTACCATAATTTAGCTCTTATGGACCACTCAGTAGTAATCATTACCATTCACTCTTTGCCTAATTAAACAAGGGACCTACCTCTACTAATGCAGAGGCTCTTATTTATATCCTTAGATATAATGTGCCCTGCTCATGATCAGAGATAGGAGGGGATTAAGATCACAGGAAAAAGAAAAATTCATATCCAAAGCAAAGGCAAATAGTGGAATGTTGATTGATATTTATTCCTCTTACCTCTTAGTCCCATAAATACACACGCACACACACACACACACACACACACACACATATACACACACAGGTTGACACTAGAATAATTGGAGTATAGATACTGCTATTTCATTTTGTTTAGAGGTACAGAGACAGAATGTCCAAAAGCATGTTAATTCATTGTTTTTCCTAAAAGAAGCTACATAAATTATTATCTACAACTATTACAGTATGGCATGAGTTCTATCATCCCCATCCCTTAGCCAGACAGACATGGCTAATCAATCACGGTATTTTTTTTACAATTTTTATCAACTTGGTGCTTCAGGAAGCCACTGCTAGTTCACAAGAAGCTTATTTGCCAGTCTGAACTTAATACTACAATGAGAAGACAATCTATGTAGATGTTATTTAGAGGGATTGATCACTGGATCCAAACGACCAGAAAGTGATGGTAAAAGGTACAGAAAATTCTTTAAGAACCAAGTTTTTTTTTTCTTCCCTAGCCTATCACACTTAATGTCACTTGTAAACTGTACTTGTCACTATTTATATTTTCTTTTGGTTATTTTATAATTTAAGCGGTGATAGATTGTTAACTATAAAAATGTTTGGGTTGTATCAACAGCCATACAAAAATTTCCCTTCTATGGTCTCAGTCGGCTTGCTTTGTCTTTCACTTTACATCCAGTTTCCTCTTTCCTGTTCCTTTAATCAAAATATGGGCATATTTGCAGGCCATTCAAAACAAAATAGAATAAGACAAAAGAATTGTGCCATGTAGTTGTAGATAATAATTTACGTAAGCTATTTTAAGGGAAGCAATTCATAATGCCTTTTCCAAATAAAGAAGACATCTTTAATGGTAAGTTACCAATTCTCTCAAATGAAAATTTAAATAGAACGGACACTTCTGAAATCTTTCCAAAACAAGTGAAGTTTTCTTTTACACAGTACCCTCTCTGTTCTGCTATTGTACTGATTTTATGGCTATAACCTTGTGTTCTAAGATTCTAAGTAAATCAACCAGTGCAATAAAAATCACATTGTCGTAGAAAAGAGTAAAGTGAATTCACAGCTAATATCCTGCCTTAAGCAAAATGAGGTAGGCTTGGAGCATGTGCAAAGGAGACAACTAATCTATACCCATGTGGGATGTGGTAAATGATGGGCTTTATCTACAAAAAACAACATTTCAGAAAGAAATTAACCATCAGGTGTGGGTGGGCAATTAACTCCAGACTGTGGAAGCAAGCTCTCTCCTGTAGAATATTCATTAACTCCTTTAATTAAAAAGTATTCATAGTTGCATAATTTAGGAGTGCTTTTCATATACTTCAAAAGGTTCTTGACAGTCTGTGAGTCACTCATAATTTTTTAAGAGAAGGAATTTTTCTGTTGATATCAATTAACTATTGAGAAGAAGATTTATATCTCTAATTTTTCACCAAAAAAACCCAGGAGATATGAAATATTTAGAACTGTAACATTCTCTTTGGAAAACATGTACTTATACTATCGAGCATCTCATTTGTTCTTCACTCATTTGTTCATTCATTCATTCAAGCAATCAGTCAATACAGACATATTTTGGGCTGAGTGCTGTCCTAAGTAAGGCAAGGAGAGTGGTAAACAAGAGAGATGATGGTCCCTGCCCTCAATAGACACAACTACACCAGGAAGTCAGCCGATTGAATTAGTAATTTGAAATTTTCTGAAGGCCAGGAAAATCACGCAGAAAGTGTTAAGGACATAGAGGACTGACCTGGTGTGGTAGACAGAATCATGCCCCCCAAAGATGTGCATATCTTAATCCCCAGAACCTGTAAACATGTTGTTACATGGCAAAAGGAATTCTATGGATTTGATTAAGTTAAGGACCTTAAGATAGGGAGATTAACCTAGGTCATCCGGGGGGGCACAATGTAATCACAAGGGTCCTTAGGAGAGGGAGACAGGAGGGTGGGAATCAGAGAAGCTGTGGTGATGAAAGAAGAGGTCAAAGAGAAATCTGACAATGCCACACCGCTGGTTGGAAAATGGAGGAAGGGGCCAGGAGTCATGGAGTGCAGATGACCTCCAGAAGTTGGAAAAAGCAAGGAAATAAATGGATTCTCCTCTAAAGCCTCCAGGAAGAATACAACCCTGACAAAGATTTGATTTTCTCCTGTGGGATTCATTTCAGTCTCTGTCTTTTAAGACTATAAATGTGTGTTGTTTTAAGCCACTAAGTTTGTGGTAATTTGTGACAGAAGCAATAGAAAATCAGTGTACCTGGGTTGCTGCTTTGGGGAGTGAGGAGAGGTGGTGGGTGAGGGCAGGGAATTTGTTTTAGACTTCGGGACCCGTGAGAGCAGAAATCATGCCTGCTTTCTTCACCCTTGAACACGCAGCACTGGTCATTGTGCCCGGGACTTAATAGATGTTCAGTAAGTACAAGAAACATGGGCTGAGGCAACAGAACATTAACTAATTAACTCAGGAATGAGAGAACAGAACACATGAGGGGAGATCTGGAGGAGGAGGTGAAGGTAAAGCTGGCAAACCATAGCGTGAAGAGAGATGTGCGCAGGAGTGCCTCTGGGGCGTTCCCAAGTGACTACAATGCTTTGGGGACACAGTCTACACATGGTAACAGAAGATTTCTTCACATTTGAGCAATTTGTGTTTTCATTCAGATAAATATGGTGCTTGCCATCTTATAATTTATGTAGCTTGTTTCATATATTTTGATTATTCAATCATGTGCTCAACAACAAATCTTCCCCTTCTGTGTAAATTACTGGGGGAGGGCATAGATTTTTTAATTCTCCCCCGTTTCCCACTCTCTTGCTCAGCTTTGTCTCTCTTTGGTTTAGTTACTTCCAGATTTATTTAGCATTCCCGCAAACCCACTGGACGTCTCCTGGACGTCTTATATTCCCCACTCTCCAAAGTAAAGTTACCTTCCCTTTTCACTTCCCACCCCCTCAGGTTCCACATCCTCCCAGTGTGAGAGAGACAAAGCTTCAGAGTCATTGTTTTGCCCTCTCCCCTCCTCCAACACCCAAACAGTGCCAGCAGCGTTCATGACATGCTGAACTCTCTTTCAAATTCATCCTCTCCCTCTATTGTCATAACCTTGTGACCATCAGCACTCTCCCTGCAGACTGCTTTCAGACCAGTGTCTCCTGTCCCAGCTTCGAGCATCCCTTCTTATATGCATGCCCACTGGCAACAGGGACCCAAGTCCCGCCTCTGTCCCTAACTGCACAATTCAGAGCAAGTTAATTATCCCTTATGGGCCCCATCTTATTCATCAGTAACATGAAGAGTATCCTATCACCTATTTGAAAGCGGAAGTGTAGTATTTACTAATTACCTATTTCAGAGTTATAAAGAGGAATGTCCTTTGAAAACTATCAAATGCTATACAGATATTGCCTATCCTTACAATTTTCATTCACTGACCAAGTGTTCATTGAACACAGAAGGATAATGCAATGAAAAGTTAAAATGTATTTCTTGCCTTAAACATCTAGTTAGAAGGAAAATATGCAGAAAAAGAACAAACTCTATAACCACTTAAGTCAATATGTGACTGAGTGAAGCATGTGGTATCTCTGCTTTTCTATTACTATGATCTCCATTTCACAGCTGAAGATACTGAATTCCAGGCTGTGCTGACAGCACGTTCCCCTGTATGGGTCTGGTTGACTTCTTTTTATACTTAATGGGATTGCCAAGCAGTGTGTCCTTCAATTTTCTTTTTACTTTTCTGTTAAATCTTGAAGACAGTATAAGGTCTGGATTGGCAGATCGAGGAGATAGTTCTGTTCAGGAGAATCCAAATAAAGGCTCGGAGCCAGGGATGACTGAATTAGATACCGGGGGGCCGTGAGTTGATTTAACTAACTTGGATAGAGGATTTGTGTAATGTGGAATGAAAGAGAAAGCAGTATAAGAAGATAAGAAAGGGCTTTAGGTGCCCTAAAGGGCTGAGGAGGGGGCACTGGGCCTACAGAAGGGAAACTTCACGATTAATCATGTGACAGACTTTCAAGTAAAGGTGATTTAAGATTCATCTGTCATTACACGACAGAATGAAGTCAGGACGGCAATTACCTCTCAGCTTGCATGTCAACACCAAGCATTCACAGTAGCTTCCCGCAGCCCTGTCCAAAGTTCTCAGGCTACCTTGGCTCATAGGAGGAAGCGCCTTGACCTATTAGTTCTGTCTGAGGTGAGCATGGGACACTGGGTATTTTCTATCCATGGATTAAAACCCAGACTATCTCATGGCAGGAAAAAAAAATTCTAATTCATTTTGAACATGATTAAGGACAGAATCAGAGTTGCAGAGGTGAAAATTTAAAGGTAATAAAACCAAGAGTTATAGATTTTAGTAATTAATTAAAGCCCAGGGAGGTGGGGCACCTGGGTGACTCAATCAGTTAAGCGTCGGGCTCTTCATTTCAGCTCAGGTCATGACGATCTCATGGTTCCAGAGATCGGAACTTGGAGCCCAGTGCAGGGCTCAAACTGACAGCGCAGAGCCTGCTTGGGATTCTCTCTCTCTCTCTGCCCCTTCCCCAAAATAAATAAACAACAACAAAAAATAAAGCACAGGGAAGGGAGGGCAGGATGGTGTTTCTGAACAAGAAGGAGAAATAGGAGGACTGAGGATACTCTGGAGTGTCAGAGGACAGGAGGAGGACGCTAGAAGAAACATTCTGATCAACTAGTCCTGACTATTACAGAAGGGACACAACAAAAGTGATGGTGCCCATCAGTTGCTGCTCTGTGAAAAACGGGCCTGGCCTAGTGAGGCAGAGGTGACAACACTCTTAAAAGTTTCCAGGGGCACCTGGATGGCTCAGTCAGTTGAGCGTCCAGCTCAGGTCATGATCTCGTGGTTTGTGGGGCTGAGCCTGGCATTGGGCTCTGTGCTGACAGCTCGGAGCCTGGAGCCTGCTTCAGATTCTGTTCTCCCTCTCTCTCTGCCTGTCCCCCGTTCATGTTCTCTCTCTCTCTCTCTCTCTCAAAAATTTTTTGAGAATTTTTTTTTAAAGTTTCCAGATAAGCAGGAGAATAAGACATTCAATAAATGATCATTAAATAAGTACTATACCAGTATTATGTAGGCATTCTTTGAGAACATGAGGCAGGATGAAGTACATTTACCACAAAAAGTTAGAAAAGACCAGGGGTGCCTGGGTGGCTCAGTTGATTAAGTGTCCAACTTCAGCTCAGGTCATGATCTCATGGTTTGTGAGTTCAAGCCCTGCCATCAAGCTCTGTGCTGACAGCTCAGAGCCTGGAGCCTGCTTCAGATCTGTGTCTCCCTCTCTCTCTGCTCATCCCTTGCTCTCACTCTGCCTCTCTCTCTCTCTCTCTCTCTCTCTCTCTCAAAAATAAACAGTAAAAAATTAAAAAAAAAAAAAAAAAAAAAAAAAAAAGAGACCAGAGAAGCTGACATCTGAGCTACATCTCTGTTGATGTGGGGTCAATGCCATTGATTCATATATTTATATAACATTTATTTTATTCCATTCAATATGTTATATATTCATTCAGAATATATTTTATATGGTAATATAATAAACATTATAATAGGTTATCCTCTTATATAAACATTCTACATGTTCTTTTGCCATTGTACTGTTAATGGATATTTCAGTTGTTTCTAGATTTGGGGAATTATAAAGAAAGCCTATCCTTCTTTATACAATCTTGTATATGTTTCCAGATACAAATATTAACAGATTCCTTTTCCTATTGTCTTTAGAAGTACAAAAATTAATATGTCAGCATCTTCTGTTTTTTGAGTTTATGTAAATAGACTTGGAATTTTATGGAATTGTTCTTTTTTTACCCTACTACATTTTATATAAGACATTCAATTTCCTTTATTGTATAAGTATACCAAATAATAAGTATATCAAATAAAAATTCAATTGCATAATACACCACAATTTCTGTGTTTATCTGCTACCTATTCTGGAAATATGGGTTGATTTCAGGTTTGGACAGTTTCAAATACTACTGTTGTGAATATGCTTGTTTTTGTAATTTGCTGTATACAGGCTCTCATTTCTTCAGGTTGTCTGAGTAGGAGTGGAATTGGTGGTCAGAGGGTAGGTATGTCTTTAACTTTACACAATTTTGCCAAACTTTTTTCCAAGGCTGTTGTCATAGTTTACACCCCCACCAGCATTGTAGGAGACTTTTTGTGCTACATCCTCAGGAACCCTTGGCATCCTCATACTTTTAAATGTTTACCAATAGGGGCGCCTGGGTGGCGCAGTCGGTTAAGCGTCCGACTTCAGCCAGGTCACGATCTCGCGGTCCGTGAGTTCGAGCCCCGCGTCAGGCTCTGGGCTGATGGCTCAGAGCCTGGAGCCTGTTTCCGATTCTGTGTCTCCCTCTCTCTCTGCCCCTCCCCTGTTCATGCTCTGTCTCTCTCTGTCCCAAAAATAAATAAACGTTGAAAAAAAAAATTAAATGTTTACCAATAAACCACATAGATATATACGCACATATACATGTATATATTAGTGGATAAATGCAAATTAAATCCCCTATTTCTCCAGTAATTACTGCGAATGACAGTCAAGCATATTCTTACATGTTTACTGGTAAATTTGAAAATGGCTGTTCACGTTTTTTACCCATTTCTATTGGGTCGTCTACCTTTTGTTATTCATTGATTTGTAGAGGAGTGGCAGCCCTTTGTCCACATTATGTGTTCTACCTATTCTTCCACTCTGGCTTATCTTCTCATGCTTTATATGGTGGCTTTTGTTGAACAAAAACTTAAAAATAATCTAGTAAAGCTTAATGGTCATTTTCTTTATGCTTAATGCTTTGCATTTCTTGTGTATTTTCTCCTATCTTCTCCTCTAAATTTATATTTTGTCTACCACTCTTAGGACTTTGATTCACTGGGTACTGACATGGAGATATGGTGTGTGAATTACAGTGAATGATTTCATTCATTATAGGTACACAATTGTCTCATCATTGTATATTAGCAAGACTATCCCTTCCCTACTGCTCTGCAATGCCATTTTGTCACAAATCAAACATCAATAAGTGTGAGATTTTTCTACCCTTCTGGGCCCTCTCCTTTGTCCTATCAATCTGTTAATTTATCTTGGAACCAGTACCACACTGCATTGATTATTAGAGCTTTATAACATATCTTGAGAGTTAAGAAAACGTTCTCTCATACACTTCACATATTTCATGAGTGTCTTGCCTATTCTTGGCCTTTTGAGTTTCCAAACAAAATTTAGAATAAGCTTGTCAATTGCCATTTAAGTGTCCTAGTGGAATTTTAATAGGAATTACACTTATATTTATAAATAAATTCAACATAAATAAAACTGACATCTCTTCAATATTAAGCATTCTAATGGACATGGTAATTTGCTTCTATTTATTAATAAACACCATTTACTTAAGTATTGCGAGTATTTTTAATACCCTGTAACAAAGTTTACACTTTTCGTTCTGTGTAGGCATACACATCTTTACTTAAAATTTACTTCTACAAGTAAGCAGGAGGTGAGATAGAAGGAGGAAGATGAAGAAGGGAAGGAGGAGAAGAGGAAGGGAGAGGAGAAGGAGGAGCTGGGGAGGAGAAAGAAAATGGAGGAAGGAGAAAGACAGAAGTAGAAATAAGAGGAGGGTGGGGCAAAGGGCAGAAAAGGAGGAGGAGGAAGAGAGAGAGAAGGAAATGAGGAGGACAGTAGAGGGAGGTCCAGTGGCAGGAAGAGGAAAGAGGACCTATTCTCTGGTCTATATTCAAGTCAGAACACTTTAATTTTTTTTTTTTTTTAAGCTAACTCACCATTGCAGTTGCCATTGGATAGAGAATTGAGCAACGTGTTTTGTTCACACTGAAATGAAAATAAATATAAGGAAGAATAACATTATAAAAATTCATTTCTGTCCCTGAAAACAGCACATTTTTATTTTCTCCATAAATAACAAAAAACTAGGCTCTGATAATATTTTCCATTAGTCTTTTTTTTTCAGAATGATAAATACAACAAAACTGAAATAATAAAATAATCAATGGTTCTAAGTATTTATTAACTTGGTAGATAATTTATGTTACCAAGTCAGACTATCTTGTTTAGAACATTTTCTGCAAGACTAAGTTTGTTTTGATTTTTGATCAAATTAAACGTTTGCATGTGCTTTCGTGTAGTGTATCCAATCAGAAATTAACCTCATTAACACAACATTCCCTAACAGAGAGGCATTGACCATATATTTCATATTATATTAGAGTTAACTGTTCACCGGCAGCTCCATGAAAATGCCTGAGAAACATTGTTGATCTATGGAAATGCTGGAAAATGAAAATAATCCTTTATTCTACAATTAAAGTTCTTTGAAATTGTCAATAATTGATGCCTCTAATAGATCGCATGCTACCTACTTCTCAAAAGATTTATTGTCATTATTGTTGTTGCTGATGATGACGATGATAGAAGTTGATATTTTTGACTACCTACTAATCACCAAGGACTTTATGTTAATTATTTAATCCTCAGAACAATCCTATGGAGTTGCTAATCTCATTTTCCATAGGAAGGAGCTAAAGATTGCAAAGGTTAAATAACTTGACCAAAGTCACAAAGTGAGAGAGAACCTGGGCTAAAACCAAAGCTCCTACCTTTCCGTTCAGAACCTCAGGCTCCCAACCACTACATTCTACTGCTTCTCACGCGAAATCCACTTCTTCCTCAAGGCTGACTAGAGAACATCTATTTTCTCTTCTTGATACCCAGAGATGCAGCTCATATACTTTAATTCTGGCTCTGACAGTTATCAGCTATATTTCCCCCAGGTATTTTACAGTTCTGAGTCCCAATCTCCCTTTTTTGTAACATTCACGTAATGCCACTTACATCACGGGGCTGGTGATGATTAAGTAACAGCCTAATTAAAAGGACTAGCCTCTGAGAGACATTCAAAGAATGTGAGTTTCCTTTCCCTGCTCTTATTGTTAATCCTGTCTGAAATCTGTGCAAAAGAATTTCAAGTAATTTATGTAGATACTCCACCCTCAGAGAGGTGAAGCATAACTCCACACTCTTTAACTGTGGGCTGCACATAGCAATTTGCTTCCAAAGACTACCATAAGGAAAGGGTAGAAACAGAATAACTTCACACCGGGGAAACCTGACAAATCCTACCCCAGGTAGGTGACCAAGGTTAACAACAGAGATACATCATATTGATAGTATATACCTTTGACATGATATGATGAAAATGGAACTTCATCTCTATAGTTTTATTCCTAAAACCCCATATCCCTGCTCTTACCATGCTAAATTTCAGTAGAGGGGCATTCTACAAAATACCTGAACAATTCTACTCAAACTATCAAGGTCAGCAAAAATAGAAAAGTCTGGGAAACTGTCACAGGGAAGCAGAATCTAAGGAGACAGGACAACTAAATGTAATGTGATGTCCTGGATGGAATCCTGGAACAGAAAAGGACATTTGGCAAAACTAAAGAAATCAGAACAAAGCAAGAACTTTAGTTAATGATAATGTATCCATTTTGGTTCATTGATTGTAACAAATATGTTACACTAATGCAAGATGTTAATAACAGCAAAAAACTGTGTGGTGCAGGGTATAGAGGAATTCTCTGTACTAACACTTCTCAACTTTTTTGTAAGTCTAGAAGCTTTCCAAAAAAATAAGTCTATTAAAAAAAAAAACCTTGTTTAAGCAAAAGAAACTTTTGGATAAACAGCAGATTGAAACTTGCTTTGTAAAGTGAGGTCACAAAATGATGACTATTACAGGAGTATCTATAATCTATACAATAATGAACATGAATCCAATAAACACTAAGACTCTGAGATCCTCCTGAGCTTCTGTATTCAGGAAGATATTTAATAATGATATATAGGAAGTATATTGTTGCAGTATAAAACAGGAAATCCTTTTTCAGTTTGTGTTTTGAATATGATGTGATTCTTCTTGCCCCAGGATGTTTTAAATGCCCTTCCATTACCACCATCTGTTGAAAATGTGACTGTGAGAGGAGACCAAGGCCCCAGCAGAGCACCCTACTTTAGGAACTATGGGAATTGATGCAGACTCGTGACTGTAAACTGAACTTGGAACAGGTGCATGGTCCTTAAACAAGAAGTTGATATCCTAGGCGGACAGCACATGACAAGGATAATATGAGATGCCCCAAAGAGTATCCATGCTACCCAAGACCACCAATTCAACCATTCTGAAGAAAGGTCTATTCGTGATTCCTCAGAGAGCAGACCTTCCAGATTACCATCTGAATGCTTATTGTACCCTTCGAAACTCACAGTATGTAAATACACACAATATTTACATTATTCTCATAGTGAAATGTCCTCTCAAGAAATCATTCCTTATCATTATAGTTCTGAGTGAAAGAATCCCTTTGGATGTCATTATGTACCAGTAACCCAGATTCAATGAACTCTACTGGATTATCAGACCCAAATTTCTGAAGTCCCAAGTTGGTAAAATCATGTACGTGGTACCTCCTCACAGAAGGCTTGTCAGTGAGGTTTATTTCTGACTTCATATGCTACAAGATGAGCATATGCCGATTGTCGATTCTAAAAACAAGTTGGAACAACTTTAGTCTTGCAGGAGAATATTCTAAGGAAAATATTGTCAACTATCAAAAAATAACTACTTATAAGAATAGTCACATCAGATACTCCACTAGACATGATAAGGCCTACAAAGAATCATATAATTTCAAGAAGTAAATCTACATTTTGGCAAAATAAGACCACAAAGTTCTCGTGGATTCATTAGGTTATTTGGAAGCCCGGACAAATTTTCCCACAATACTGTTGTGGTTGTCAGCTTATGTCAGCCACAGGAACCTACCTATCTCATAATACAGCTAAAAAATGTACTTTTTTAAGGCTTTAAAAAAAGGGGCCTTGTGGGGCGCCTGGGTGGCTCAGTGGGTTAAGTGTCTGACTTCGGCTCAGGTCATGATCTCATAGCTCGTGAGTTGGAGCTCCACATTTGGCTCTGTGCTGACAGCTCAGAGCCTGGAGCCTGCTTCAGATTCTGTGTCTCCCTCTCTTCTGCCCCTCCCCTGCTCACACTCTTTTTCTCTCCCTCTTCCTCCCTCTTTCTCTCTCTGTCTTTCTCTCTCTCTCAAGAATAAATAAACATTTAAAAATTTAAAAAATAAAAACAAAAAAGAGGCCTCATATCCAACGTGAACAACTGGGAATGTATATCCACCTTTGTCATGAGTGCAAGTTCTTCTCAACCCAAAATCACAGGTGGGTTCCTAATAATCTGAAGAAAGTGACATCCTAAAGAGCACAGTGAGAGTAAAAGACAGGGCTGGAGATACACAGGCAGGGCCAGCCCTGTGGGCTTGCAACCTGTGTAGTTACAAAGGGTCCTATGCTTAGAAGGGTCTTCTTCTTGGTTTAATGCTCTCTATTGCCATCTTGAAATTCTTAGCAACTGTTGAACAAGGGAACTCATATTTTCATTTTGCATTGCACCCAGCAAATTTTTATAACTGATTCTGTATTTAGGGCCTCTACGGTGTGGATCAGTATGAGACCCAGAGACAGAAGCATAAAGCTGCAAGGAACAGGAATGAGTTACTAAACAGCTCCCGAGCCACTAGAAATGAGAGGGTTAATGCCTCCTATGTACCTAAGTGACTGTGGATAATACACACTCAAGGATATAAGAGAATGAGATCTTTGTAATCTGGAGTAATCATGGAAAGCTTCATGGAGAGGCTATTATTTGCATTCAGTCAAACTAATAACATTAACTAATGTTTTATAGTATTGAGTAGGCCAGGCAGTATTCTAAGTGCTTTCCATATATTAACTCATTTAATCATCCTGATAATAGATAAGGAAACTGAATCACAGAGGGTTTAATAATAAACTCAGTTAAGTTCTTGCAAACTCAAGCAGCTCAGTTCCAAAGTCCATCCTAAGGGGCTTAAGGATTCAAATAATTACAGGTAGCTATTTACATAAAATCATCCTAATGCACATTTGATGTCTCTGTAAATTAAGATAACTTGTGGAGATAAAGAATGCTAGTTTTTTATAATAGTAATATAATGATGGCAACAGTTTATGCTTCTCTGAAGTCATTTAGCATATTCTATCTCTTTTAAATTTGGATCTGACTCTTCTTTCTCTTGGTAAAAAGGTCATTTAAAATAAATGATTTGTCTTTTTATTTTTCTCAGGGTTATAGTACCTAGTACGCATGTCTACTATATATATGTTGAATGAATGAATAAATGAACAAAGGAATGAATGACAGTGATTACCTAAAAACTAACTATAAGAACCAAATAAAAAGTATAATACAATATAAGTTTTGATGAGGGAGTGGTTTCCAAAGACTCTTGTATTATATTCCATGATACAGATCTTAGTATCACGATATAAGGTTATTTGTAGTACAGTAATAGGAACTAGCTTTCCTACCTTGCTGATATCATCCAGTAGCTGGTTGTTGGCATTTTCCTTTTGGATTATATTCATTAGATCAGCATGAAACTTCTTTGCATTCAGGAAAACAAGTGGGTTATTTATGGAGATAATTTTCACCTGCTGAAGAGTTTCCTTTTGGAGGAGAATAGGAATAAATTCAGAGTTCTGATTGAAATAAAAGAGGATAGGTCTATCCAAACAGTCTAAATCTTACAAATCCAGATGTCACTCAACGATGGAAGAATCTCTTAGCCAAGGTTTTCATTATTAAAATTTATTTGGAAAAGTTAATATACTATCATGCTTCTTCAGAAAAATATGTATTTCCTGTTTCCTAAGAAATATTAATAACCATGAGATGAGTCTGCATCTTTTCAGAAAATGGCATTTTTTCCCACTGATTTGGGGGAGGCAACACCCTAAGATATCCAAAGAGTACCAGGAAGACCTACTCTTCCAAAAGTACCTCTTCCATACAATCTAGAAACTAAAAATTCATTCACTTAACCATCAGTATTTTTTTAATGGAAATATGTCCTAAACAATCAACTGTCAGTCATTTGCCTCATAATGATACAGCTTTCTTTTGGCTGGAATTATAACCTTACAAGGGGCTGACAGTCCTAATTAGGAGAAAGAAACCAAGAGATAGTATCTGGAAGGTAGTTTCACTTTGGGCAGGCCTAAATTACACTGGATTGCCGGGATGCGGGTAAGAGATGCAGGAAGGGAGAAGGAAAGTTTCCAAGCAAAAGGTGCCTGTTCTGGCCATTTCCCGGGTCTTCCTGGCAGCAATTGCTGATATGCAACTCAGACCGTGCTCTCCATGACATTTGGGGCAGGGGTCTGACCTAGAAATGGAGAAGATGGTGAATTCTGTCGAATAATTCCTTACCAACTAAATAAAGCAATACTCCTTCAGGCTTTAGTACTTGCATAGAAGAGAAAGCCCAGGGATTAGTGAAGCAGACAGGCAGATAAAGAACGATAAAAACAAACAAAACACAACATTAGGTATGTGAATTTGGACAATTCATTTGACGACTCTCAGCTTCCTCATCTTTTAGAGTAGGTAAAATTTTAAACTACATAATCTCAAAAAGTTTCCATAGCTACGCAACTGATTAAACTCTAGAAAGTGAGATTTGCTACAAGTAAGCAATTTCAGAAAACAAAAACTTAACAAATTAACTTAATCAAGAGTAAATCTCTTAGAGAGACAAATCAAGAAACAGACTTTTAATTATAGGGAATAAACTCATGGTTACCAGAGGGAAGGAGGTGGGGGTTGGGTGAAATAGGTGATGGGGACTAAGGGTGCACTTGTTGTGATGAGCACCAGGTGACGCAGGGAAGTGTTGAATCACTGTAGGTACACCTGAAACTAATATTACACTGTATGTTAACCAACTGGAATTTAAATAAAAACTTTAAAAAAAAAAAGAATAAATCTCTCACAAACCAAAAATAAAACCATGCTTGGGCTTGTCATATTTAGTTATCACAAAGCCCCACATCTTAAGATCGACCCACCAATCACATCACATGATTTGGCCAGTATGTTGTTTTGAGTTAAGAGAATTTGTTTAAATAGCACGTATTGGTTGAGGAATAGAGATTCAACTTGTGTCAGGAAAGAAACTCTCAATGGGGTTGAGTTCACCCGCCAAAGAGGTGTCCCAAGGTCAGATGTGTGTTTCATGTGAAGAAGGTGGAAAGCACGGATGGAGGAGAGGAGTGACAGAGCACTGCCATGCGTGAAGTTAGCTAAAAACCCCACCTAACAGCTCATGTTCCAATCTTAGTTTTCTTTTCCTCCTATTTTTGATACAAAACATTAAATAGTTAGTGAATTGTAGTGTTCTAATAAAATTAAGCTGTCCATGTGACAGTTATGATTCAGGTGTGTGACTACACTGGAAATAGTCAAGGTTTAAAGATATGGAAGAATTTTGGCATGTTTATCTTCCTACAAATCCCCTCGTTCACTTTCCCACATGTTTAGTCCGAGAAGAAGGTACAGATTAGGTAGAATTTATTAACCAGTAATCTTTAAGCTGAAAAATGGTCAAACTCGAATTGTGTTTCAAACCTAACAATGTCAAGGCTAATGTACACAGCTGTACGTGTAGGGTGGATACAGACTTTAGGGACCCTAGAGCCAGTTTGGGACTTTCTGTGAGCACTAAATTCTCGTGGAAAATTAAAAAAAAAAAAAAAAAAAAAAAAAAAAAAAAAGAAAAGAAAAGAAAAGAAAAGAAAGGTATCATTGGTGGAAAACTTGAACCTGGGACCGTCTTAGGGCTCTAAACTCTAGTAGGCCTCTATGAAGTAAACTTTTTCACACTTAGTAAAAACACAAGCCAGGGGAGCACCTGGGTGGCTCAGTGGGTTAAGCATCTGACTTTGGCTCAGGTCATGATCTCACGGTTCTCGGGTTCGAGCCCCACATCAGGCTCTGTGCTATGAGCACAGAGCCTGGAGCCTGCTTCAGATTCTGTGTTTCCCTCTCTCTCTGCCCCTCCCCCACTCATGCTCTGCCTACGTCTTTCAAAAATGAATAAATGTTAAAAAAAATCTAAAAACACAGCCATAATGTATACAAATATTGAGTCACTATGTTGTACACCTGAATCTAATACAATAGTGTATGCTAATTATTCTTCAATTTAAATATACACACACACACACATTTCCCTGGGTGTCACAGAAAGACTCCTGGTGCTACTTCCTACTTCTAATCTACTCAGAAATACTCTGACAATTGGTCCTTCTGGTGGGAGCCCAGTTCTCTTTGTTCTGAGGGCAATCATGAGATACAAAAACAAGTACATATGAAAAATAGAGGGGAAAAAAAGGTTACCCAAGCACTTACAAAGCAGGTTAAAAGTGAGGCCAATTTTTTAATTGCTAATATTTAAGTCAACATTTTTTTCCTCACTTTAAACTTGTTTTGGTCATCCTTCAGAACAAGAAACTAGAGCTCAAACACAACTGGCCTGCCCAAGCATGGACAGGGTAAGACAATTTACACAAGCTGTTTCCTTAAAAAGATGGCCTCTGTGCAAGAAGCCAATCCTATTGGCACTCCATAACCATTCAATTACCCTCTGCTAATAATACAGTCTCACTGACTGTGTTAAAAATAATAAAAGCAATAGCATGATCCCACCTTGCTTTATTTCCTTCCCTATTCCCTATCTTCTTCCATCATTTAATTAGGAATAGACTGTTTAGTTTGACTATTTTATGCAACTTAGCTAGTAAAATAGAGGTTTCCGATGCCTCAACTAATGTGGGCCATGATTCCACTGTGAGATATAATTCTAGAAACCATGCTATCATCTTCTCTGAATGCTAACACAAGATTTTTTTGTTGTTTGTTAATTTGTTGTATGTCAACTGCTACAAGTATGGTGGTCACACATACCACTGAAAATTCATCATAATTAAAAATAAGATAATCATGTATTTAAAGTCATACTTTACTTATGGTACCTTAAAGCTATCTGAACTACAAATATCGTTAATAATTACACAAAGGAAAAGAAAACTAAACTTACGCCATCCGTTTCTGTCTTCACTTTAAATTCCATTTCTTTCATGTTTTTTATACTCAGAGTCTTTGCTCTAGAATTCAGGCAGACAAAAAATAAAATGTCACTTCCTGATCACTACATTAAGAATGAAAATGCAAAAAGGATGTCATTTTATCTTAACAATTAGAACATACCCATAATAGTTAAAATTTTATATCGTATTTGTGCATAAAACATGGGTAAATCTCTATTTCTCTGGGATTCTCAGGAATAGAGTGTAACACTAGAGACATCTAAGTAGAGATTAATAAATACAATTGACCTCATCTGGGTTCCCAGAGCCCCATCTCTATAAGCCACAAGAGGCAGACTGACAAAAAGAATTGTAAGAGAGTATACGGTGTTTGGGGAAATCTTGTTTTAGGGGAAAAAGAAGTAAAGAGAGAGTCAATGGCAAGATAGGACCAGATACTGATGAATCTACACAGACAGATTTCTATAGAAGTCTTTTTATAGAATCGACACAGATAAAACGTAAAAATTTTTGAAGTATATTATTTCACAAAGAATTTCAAGAGAAGGATGAGACATGAGTAGAAGCATTATCAGATGATGAACACTGAGAAAGTAGAAAAAGAATTGGTCAAAATAGGGGAATGGCTTACAGATATGCAGTAACAATCTTCAATATATGATCTAGAATTCTTCAGTAAATTATCTAGAAGAAATCTTTATATGTATAAAAATCTGGCTTCTGAAAAATTAAATTTACTGAAGTTATTTAATTTTCTAAATGATCTAGATTTTATATGGTCACTGAATAATATGTCCCCCTCACTTGACTAAAAAAAAAAAAAAAAAAAAAAAAAAAAAAAAAAAAAAAAAAAAAAAAAACCAGCTCCATGATACCCTGTTTGGCTATGAGTTAATTTACTTTGATATCAAGATTTTATATACTCTATAGTGTGGACAAGATATTTCTCTTACTTAAAACCAATACTGTTATGTATCATTACATAGATAAAACCTTTTCTTTTCATCTCTAATTCTCTGATGCCAAGTAAAACATGAGAATAGCACTAAAAATTCCACACAAATAAAAGTAACTGGCAATACCATACTTTGCTACTGTGTCAAAACAAACAGCATTTAAGTAAGATCTTACCTTGGGAAGCGACCAATCACGATAGCTATGGTGCAGACCACACCAAACAACAGCCCCACGTTGGCAGCAAAGCATATTGTAAATACGTATGTACTGACCCAGATGCCCTAGAAGAGAAACAGGAAACCGAAGATGCAAGTCCTTTGGTATTCTCTCCTCTTATGATCGTTAAATTTCTCACCATCTTATGCTATAGCATTCCTGTAAACAAAACCCTCAGCAAGAACAGATTATTTAAAAAGTGGTGAACAGAAGCCCAGGAACACAGAAACAAATCCTGGTCCCATGAGACTCTCAGCAGGCAAAGGTGGGGAAAAGGCACATTCCTTTATTTCTAGAAACTGCCAGCCCTTAGTTCAATCCCCAACAACACTTTATTTAAATATCTGTAAATAACTGGTTGATGTGTACGATTCAAAAGCATTGCCATAATTTTCCACTGTTTTCTCATTTAATGTAATAATACTACAAGCAATTGTTAGCAGATTTTTGGTCATTCCCAACAATTTCTGTTTTCTAGGATTCCTATACAAAGAACTAATGTAGTAAGACCCTCAAGCCCTAATGGTTAAAACAACTGACTCAAATACTACCAAGGCCACCTTTAGATCAGCTACTCTAAAGATTATTGTACTTTTATTTGCAAGAGCCAATTTCTTATGAAATTCTGAAAGCTAAAAAATCTGACCCAACTTAGCCCTTGGAAATATTTCAGAAGATGGCAAGAAAGATCTTTTTCTCCTTTAGTTGGGATTCCAACATTATCGCAGTTTTGTCCACCACCTGAAATTATAATCAGCAACCAAATATTGTATATAGTTGACATTTCTAAGTTTGTTACTGACAAAAAAAAAAAAAATCCTTAAAAGCAAAATAATTTGTGAAATCCAGAAGGTTGTATTTTTTAAACAGAAAATCCTGCATTTATCAAATTGTAGACCAACAAAATATTCAAACTCTCTCTTTCCCTCAAATTATCTGCATTACTTTACCTATGCATACAATTCCAAGTTGACTTCTTTCTGTCCTAATGTCTATATTATCACTTTAAAACATCTTCAACAACCTAATTCAATTTATTTGCAAATGAAAAAGTTAGAAACTTTTTTATCTAATCTGACTATTGCACAGATTCTTGTGGTGCTGGGTGAGACCAGTTTGAAGCAAATGTTTCTAAATAGCATTTTTTACTCAAAATGCTTTTCCTTTGTATTATTTATCTTAAATGGAGCTTGAACTGTTTTTCACGATGGGTTATTTTGAAAACCTAAGCTGTTGGACACAAATGGAGGGATTTTTTATCTAGAAAATTCTTTTTGATATAGAAGAAACAACCATTCTGGAGTAAAAAAGAAAATATACCATTTTTTAAGTTTATGTATTTATTTATTGTGGGGTGGGGGGAGGAAGGGGAGGGACAGAGAGAGAGGGAGAGATAGAATCCCAAGGAGGGTCCATGCTGTCAGTGCAGAGCCAGATGTGGGGCTTCATCTCATGAACGATGAGATAATGACCTGAGCCAAAATCAAGAGTCAGACACTTAACTGACTAAGCTAACCAGGTGCCCCAAGAAAATATATCTTAAGTGTTCCCATGTTCAGATCCATCACCAAGAAATGTAATGCTAAGTTAGCACTTATTATGACCTCATCCTCAGCCTGTCATCCTATAGGTAGACACTGAGATGTTTTTCCTCTAGTCAGGCAAAAAGACAGTCATTTGAGTCTTATATTTGTGTAAGTGTAATGTTTCCTCCCTAGTGTATTACAGTATGCTTCATCCCATACAAAATAAGGCTGCAAGTTTTTGATCATTACTTCAATTTGCCATGATTGCTTTGTTTCTTACTCATCTCCTAATACTGACTGAACCGCCTGGGTGTGGCAGAACAAGACCTCACCAAAAGCTTGTAAGTCCCAATTCCTCATGGCCAACCTCCATGATTCAATATAGCATAGGGAACTGAGGATCCTGGTCCCTGCCATTTAAAAAACCGCAGGGCCCAGAGGCCTTGATTTATCAAAGCAACCAAAAATTTTGGTACCATCTGGTTCTATTTTTAAAGCATATTTACTTTCCCACAACATCATCTATTGTGAGTTAGGTTCCCATTGCTTAGTTGTTTCCCAGGGCTACATTTATAGTTTTGAAAAAAATACCAAATGTAAATTAACAACATAGACCAGTAAATAGTTCCATTGGTTAGAGTAAGTCCCCACATGGTTCTGTAACAATTTCAACTAAAGATCCAAGTGTTGTTTTTCAGTTATAAGGAATTAGTTAACTCTCAGTCCTGTATTTTTTCATTATGTGTTACCACCTGATCCCTTCTCTACTGGCACTGATAGCCTCTAAACACAAGGTAACCCCAAAGCTGACCTCAAGTCGAAAACACATAAATACATAAACCCTTGCACCATTGAGCAGCTACTCAATCGCTTTACCTCTTCCTGGTCTGTTTTGGTGATTGATACACATTATTGTATTTCTGTAGCTGTGAATTCTATTCTTACTGTTCAGTTACTCAAACTCAGCTCTGAGCTAATGAGTCAGGCCTCATTTTGGATTCCTATTCCCTCATTACCTCAGGGTTTTGATCTATAACTCAAAGTGGAATCAGTATTCAACTGTAAAAAATTTTAAAGAAATAAAAATTTTTAATTTTTCATGTGATGACTGCTCACATGACTTTTTTGAAAATTTTTTTTGAATTTTTTTTTTTACATTTTTTTAAATTTATTTTTGAGAGACAAAGAGAGGCAGAGCACAAGTGGGGAAGGGGCAGAGAGAGAATGAGACACAGAACCCGAAGCAGGCTCCAGGCTCCGAGCTGTCAGCAGAGAGCCTGATGCGGGGCTCGAACTCACAAACCGTGAGATCATGACCTGAGCCGAAGTCGGACGCTCAACTGACTGAGCCACCCAGGTGCCCCTCACGTGACTTTTTAAAATTTCAACCTTCAAATTATTTTACATATACACACATCTTTGGTAACTCCACATCCATGATATTTTAGACATATTCTATCTATTGAATAATCTGGATGTATTCTACCTTGGGTAATATAACCTATATCCAAAAAGTCTATATAATATTCTGACAATAAGTGCTCTGCCCAGATCATATCCAGATCATCCACGGCTTCTCACTGTTGTTCCTTAGCAACTAAGAGACACCTGTCCACTTCAATCTTAGGAGGGCTTTGTCAAGCTAAACCCAATGTTTCATTCAACCATCATGTGTTTGCTATATCCTCGTCACCTTTCTCAACCATACTTTTTGCCCACACCATACTATTTACTCCAAATTTTCAACTATCACCTCTACATAGAGACTACCAATTCTGAGCTATTAAACCATTTATCAAACTGTCTACCAATACCATCAAACCCAATATGTCCAAATGCAAACTCAATAACTTCCCCTCCAAATCTCCCCTTCCTTCAATGTTCTTTCTGTTACATTACTAATATACTTCAAGACACTACAATCAGAGGGGCGCCTGGGTGGCTCAGTCAGTTGAGCGTCTGACTTCGGCTCAGGTCATGATTTCGCGGTTTGTGAGTTCGAGCCCCGCGTCGGGCTCTGTGCTGACGGCTTGGAGCCCGGAGCCTGCTTCGGATTCTGTGTCTCCTCCTCTCTCTGCCCCTCCCCTGCTCATGCTCTGTCTCTCTCTGTCTCTCAATGATAAATAAACACTAAAAAAAATTTTTTTAAGACACTACAATCAGAAACCATGGAATCATATTTACTTTCTCTTCTTTTATCTACTTGTCCAATCACTTCCCAAGTCCTATCAATTATTAATAAAAACTTATCTCAAACCATACCATCTTCTCAATTCACTGAGACTGCCCTAAGTCACACTTTACTATGTCTTGCCTAGACTATTCTGACAGCCTATTAACTTCCTGCTTTTGTTATCAGCACTATAAGCCATTTGCCATACCGCTGCCAGGATTATATTTTTAAGTATAGATTTGGATAGCAGATTTAGATAGTATATTAAAGGCATTTTTAGTCTACTACCTTCTATTAAAATCCATCCAAAACAATATAAAGAATGAATGTATAGGGAGGAAAACCCAGTTTCAATGAAACAAGAACATGGTCACGACTCTTAACTATAAAATATGGTGTAGGATGCCTGGGTGGCTCAGTCAGTTAAGTGTCCGACTTCAGCTCAGGTCACCATCTTACGGTTCGTGAGTTCAAGTCCTGCGTCCGGCTCTGTGCCGACAGCTTAGAGCCTGGAGCCTGCTTTGGATTCTGTGTCTCCCTCTCTCTCTGCCCCTGTCTCTGCTCATGCTCTTTCTCTCTCTCAAAAATAAACATTACAAAAATTTAAAATATGGTGCAGATTTGACAAATACTGTGAAATTTGGATGATATCAAGGAGGACACTGGAAGCCAACACATTTACCCTCAAATTTCAATCAACTATAGATTTCTTGAAATGAATGTAACGGCTTTTTAAATTGTATATAGTAATATTTTGATAAGAGCTCTAAGCTCTTGGGGCAATGGTGGGCCACCACAGAAGGAAATGCATGCATCTAATCTGTATTTGATACCATAGAAAGAAGAGCAGCAAAATGAAATGCCATTTGTATCGCTTGCATCCCTGCTTCCTAAGAGTAGGAGACTGACAGAGGTGAAGCAAGGTGAAGAATGGAGAGAAGGCAGCAAGTGTCAGGTCACAAGAGAGCCTGTGATTGTGAGGCTTTGTTTCAACAAGGGCCAAATCTTCTGATGACATACCTACATCAGAGCCGTGGGCTGCTCTAGTGCCCTTCCCACATTATTTTTCAGCAAACAGGTCCACTAAAAATGCATTATAATCATAAAAGAATCAACAAGGGACTTATTCATAGAAATGGGGGAAAAAAAGAAAACAATGAAACAGAGACAGAGGGTAGATTTAGACATGTAATAGGCAATATAATCACATACAACACACACACACACACACACACACACACACACAAATAGATTTGAAAGGTCAAAGAAGAAAAACTGTATTTAAAAAAAAAAACCTGAAAGATTAAAAAATAAGCTGGAAGAATTTAGAAAAGGATGTGGATGGAAATAAAAACATTAGAGATAAAATCCATATTTAAAGCTAAAAAAAAGGATAATCACAACTAGAAATCCATAATCAGAGACACAGTAAATGGTCCAGAGAAACCACATACACACTCCCAAAAATAATCATAGGAAAATGTATAGATACAAAAAGACAAAATAAAATCAGAAAATATATAATTCATTAAAAGAACATCTGGTTTGAAAAAAAAAGTTCAAAAATATATTAGAAGAAAAAATTTGCATATAATCCTTAATTTTGGGATAAAAAATATATGTCACTCTCATAGGAATTCGATACTGGGTATTCAGCCACAAGAAATATTCTGATAATATTACCAAATTCATGGGCAGGTAAGACTTTCACTGAGCATCCATGCTGAAAAACTAATTCAGATAAAATAACAAATCGTGTTGGGGCACGTGGTGGCTCAGTTGGTTTAGTGTCCAACTCTTGATTTCAGCTCAGGCCATGATCTCCCAGTTCATGGGTTTGAGCCCTGCATGGGGCTCTGCACTGACAGTGCAAAGCCTGCTTGGGATTCTCTCTCCCCATCTCTCTGCCCCTCCCCTGCTCATGCTTGCTCTCTCTCTCTCTCTCAAAATTAATAAATAAACTTAAAAAAAAAAAAAAACACGTTGACCTGTGATTTCTCTGCCTTATCCCTCAATACCCAAAGATAGTGCCAAGTCTAAACAGTCCTGAGGGAAGCATGTTAGACTCAGTCAAAAACTTCCTTCTACTATGAAAGAAAAAAAAAAGGGGATATAAAACACATGACCCTTTCTTGAAAAACTACTTGTTGATGACATACAGAAAACAAAGAGATGAATTGAAAAAAATAACTCATGAATGAGAACCTGTACTAAAAAAAAAAAAAAAAAACTAACTAAAAGTAACCACTAAATGCCTTCAAACAATCTTCCATGTTCTATAACTGAATGACATCATCTTCCTGCAATGATGTTCCTAACTAGAAACTCAGAAGTAGTTCTAGACTGATGCACTGTATATGATGAATTGGTGGTGAGGACCAATTAATGCAATGTTTTAAATATTTTTCAAGCTTATTTCTTCCTCTTGAACCTCCTGGTCTCAGTTTTGTTCCAGGCTTTCCTCACTTATCTGCCTGACTTACTAACACAGTTTGATCCATCTTCTCTAAATTACTCAAGCAATCCTTCTAATACACAAATCTCATTCTTATTTCTCCTTTCGGTGATTTCTATACCCCATCTGTTACTAGATGTTCTACCCATCATTTCCTGGAAGAAGCCTTCCCTGGCATCTCTTCCCTTCCAATATGGTAATGTGCTCTGTCTTATGTAATTAATGAGTTCCTTAGGATTACCTTTATCTGAGTTACCAAATAAATTGTAATTCAGTCTGCATCTTCTAATTTCTCTATTTCCATGTGCTACTTCACACATATCACCTTTAAAAAGCCATGATCCTCCATCAGTCTGGCTAATTGTAACCTCTTGGCCTGCCTATCAAATACAGTTCCTTCAAGTCTCAATTCACATTTCAGCTCTGCTGTCGGAGTGTTTTTTATCGACCCAGTCCAAACTAAATGGTCCGGCCTCCATTTTTTTCCCAGCGTTGAGCTTGTACATTTAAAAAAATATTTTTAATGTTTATTTTTGGGAGAGAAAGAGCGCATGAGTGAGGGCGTGGTGGAGAGAGAGGGAGACACAGAATCCCAAGCAGACTCCAGGCTCTGAGCTGTCAGCACAGAGCCCGATGCGGGGCTCAAACTCATGAGCCGTGAGATCATTACCTGAGCTGAGGTCAGATGCTTAACTGACTGAACCACCCAGGTGTCCCCCCCCCACCCCCAAGCTTGTATTTTTGCTTCCGGGTAATGTTGTAGCATGCCTTTCATAGTAAGTTAATGTTTCTATGTCTGCTTCCTGCACAAATGTTAAGTGTCGGGAGGAGACAAGTAGTTCTTATTTATCTCTGCATTCCTCATGGCACCCTGCTGGAAGCCGAGCTATCCAACCAGCCTGATGGCACGGCCCAGGCGGTGGACGGATCGGGACTGCAGGGCGGCCCATGAACAGTGAAGCTTCTCGTACTCCTGCTTTTATGTAATTTGGCCTTAATAAAAGTACCTGGGGAATTGTCTGTTGGGGAATTGCCCTCGACAGGCCCCCTGGGAAAAGAACCATTGGGAAAGAAATAAGGTTCTGCAAGGAAATTGTGTGGCCCTACGTTTAGCCCTTGCTACCCCCTATAAAGACTCCTCTACCTAAAGGAAGGATAGCTTCATACGTTTGCCAGCAAAGGAGGGACAAATGGATTTGAAAGCCCCACTCCGGCAACAAAGGAGTGTATCTGTGGGCACAGGTTAACTCCAACCCCTAGGCCCACTTGGCCCCCAGGAGGCATTCCAGATGATGATTGAACCTAGTCGGTTAAAGTACAGAATGGTTCATTAGTTCCTAGGTGCATTGTCTCTCTGAGAATGTATAACGCGTGGGTTTCTAAGGCCCTCTTGGCCCCCTCCTGGCACCTCGGACCAAGGCGAACACTTTTGTTCCTCAAACCACAAATGGTTTGGGAAAACAACTAAGAGGTCATGTCCCTGTAACTGTTCCACTTGAGGTGTTGAGAGATAAATGGCTTCTCACGAAAACAGCAAAGCAAATGCTTTATAGATTATAAACGTAGATACATAATGAAAATAATATGAAGAAATTAATCAATAAGCGAAGGGCAAGAGGAAACGTTATGAGAAAATAACCATGTTATTCCTTGAAGGGTGATTACACATTGGCACATTTTTAGAATTAGGTAATGCCAGAAAACGTAGATGACGTACGCTACGAGGAAATCGCTAACAAATATAATGTCACGTTTGCCACAATAAAGTGGCCAGTTCAACACGCTGCTGTTGTCTGTGCCCATTTTTATTTATTTATTTATTTATTTATTTTCACTTTTTCGCCGACGCCGTTCATCCTTCGGGAACCCCTGGACCTGCTGGAGCTGGACTCCGGCAGCACCCAGCATTGTACTGCGGGAGGGTACTGAGCCTTGAGAGAAGTATTACGAAAGTGGGCACCATCACAAAGTAGGCACCCAAAGTCGGAACAAAGATTCTGAAGGAGGGGGGATATATAGCTAATTGCATTTCAATATGATGAATGTCATAATAAAGAGAAGGTACTTACGAAGTACTTTACCCATGTGGGAAAGAGAACGAATTTTGGATGCTCCCACACGGACACATTTCTCTAGAATTAGTATGTCATACATTTCTGTTAGCAGAAGCCACACTTTATCATTGTTCAGTATGATTTAATCCCCTAATATCCAATTAACATAATGCTCCTCTCAGTGTAACCCCTCTAAAACTAAAATGAGACTTTTTATGTTTAGAAGGAATATGGTCACTGTTAAGAAGTTTACCTGTGCCCACAGATACACTCCTTTGTTGCCGGAGTGGGGCTTTCAAATCCATTTGTCCCTCCTTTGCTGGCAAACGTATGAAGCTATCCTTCCTTTAGGTAGAGGAGTCTTTATAGGGGGTGGCAAGGGCTAAACGTAGGGCCACACAATTTCCTTGCAGAACCTTATTTCTTTCCCAATTGGTGCACCTGGGTGGCTCAGTCGGGTAAGCATCAACTCTTGGTTTCGGCTCAGTTCATGATCTCATAGTTCGTGAGTTCAAGCCCCGTGTAGGGCTCTGTGCTGACAGCACACAGCTTGCTTAGGATTGATCCTCTCTCTCCCTCTCTCTGCCCCTCCCCTGCTTGCTCTCTCTGTCTCTCTCTCAAAATAAGTCAATAAACTTTAAAAAAATTTAAAAATATACATTCACCCTATATTAATGTAACACGTTTCTTAGCAATTAATGACAGTTCTTCATATGTCTTCTATTAATGTGCACTTCCTTGATGAGCTTCACTTCCAGAATCAATTCATAATGGAAATTGAGAATCTCCAGTCCATTCAATTTAGCTAGCATTTCTTTATAAGTTCTCAAGCAAAAGGGGTGCCTGGATGGCTCAGTTGGTTAAGTGTCTGACTCGACCTCAGCTCAGGTCATGATCTCACGGTTCTTGAGTTCAAGCCCCATGTTGGGCTCTGCACTGTCAGTGCACTGTCAGTGCAGAGCCTGCTTGGGATCCTGTCTCTCCCTGTCTCTGCCCCTTCTCCGCCTGCACTCTCTCTCTTTCAAAATAAATAAATAAACTTCAAAGTTCTCAAACAAAACATCAATCAAAATTGGACAAAATTCCACTTCTGTTTCTTATAAAGACATATTCTATTTTAATGCCTCAATAGTCTGAAAAAAATAAACAGTAGTTTACAAGTAGCGGACAAGTCTCAAATGGCCAAAACTATTTTTCTGCAAATAAAAATATTAAAAGCTCATTTTGCAATACATGGTCAAGCCAAAGACAGTAATTTTAGGTCAAATATCTACTTACCCAATCAATTTTATCCACATTCCAGTATTTTTTTAAGTCCCGAAACTGTATTAGCATTCCCTTCAATCCCACGACAATAATACTTGCGAGAACACACTATAAATAGGAAATAAGTTGATGAAGAAGATAAAGATTTTAATCTGAATTTAAAAGGACCAAGGTATTTTTGTTTATTTGTTTTTAAAGTACTTACTAGAGAAAAGCAATCACCATTTAGAAGACTAAAACAATACTCATTTTGTTTAGAACCAACCTATTATTGTACTTTAGGAATATACTATCAATTCTAGAAAATCACAGTGTAAAACTTAACGCCATTCTAAAACACAAGAAGGAAAAAAAGGGAAGTCATGAATTATAAGGGTGTATGTTATATAGCTGAATGTACTCTTTAATTATCTACTGCCATTTGAAACTTGTTGCAGAAAATTAAATATTTATATTATATATCTCTTGATAATTGCCTTCAATATCAATTATCTGGTTTCACCTGAAGATATTTATAACTCTCTGGAAAGGTGAACTTGATTATTAGATGATCCTCCTGTGGAAATGATTTATTCTCACTATATGAATGAAGAATTAGAACAAGACAGAACTGAGATGGTCTCTGGCCCCCAGAAGACCAGGAACTTACTTGCGTCACATTGGTGCCCCAGGCTTATGAAAAGCAAGGTAAACACTGGTTAACACTGGTGTTCTGAATCAGTTTGTATAAAGATGTATCAAAGGTGGCAAGATGTATTTGATTTCCTACTCCATTGCCCTGCACACATTTTTTCCAACAGTCCAAGTTCTGATAAAGCTCTTCCAAAGCCTATTTCTTATAACAGAGATTGCCCAGTTCTCCCCTCCAAATGAGCCCAGAATAAATTTAATTCCACAATGCCATGTTTACACGTGAGCCTAAGAAATAGAAAACAGCCACGGTCCTTTCCCATTCCTCCCCCATCACAGGTGGCCTCTGTCCACCTTCCCTTCATTCAATCATTACTTATGTCACGTGGCTTTCATATGCAGGATCATTGAATCCACTCTCATAAGACATTTTAATATACAATGATTTCATTAAAATTAATGTTGACAAGCAGATATTGAAAAAGGACTACTGTACCATGGGCAGCCAGTAAAGCAAAGGTCCTATGGCATAGATGACTATCAGGACAAGAACGCAAGATATTAAACAAGCCACCTGTAAAGTACAAGACAGACAAAAAAGAAAGTGTTGGACTTTCTTATTATTCCAAAGTTATGGGGGAAATATAATTCTTAGTTCATCTTGATTATAAGAAACCAAATGTTAGTGCATGATTGTTAAACTGCATAGACTACCATTATCTATATTTTGCAGCAGAGGAAACCCAAACGTGACAGCTGACAAACTGGTGCAATCAAATTAAGTCAGTGATGAGAGAAAAGCAATTCCACGCAAAGAAATAGGACACCATCAACTTTTATCACACATCACAGCAATGGCTTTTTTTGTTTAATAGTGAAAATGACATTTCAATTAAAAGTCCTTTAGCCCATTGTTGTTCAGCTTGACTCTCTTCATTTCGTAGCGAGGTTGAATAATAACTGAATATGCAGCTTAGAGTTTTTTTCTCTGCTGATGATAAATTTCCACCGAAGCATTTATTCTCTTTGGAGTTCTTTGTTAAGAAGGGTTCTAGGATGAAGCAGTTATACGGGATTATAGGAGCAGTCTCCGTAGTGAAATAAGCTTAATTTTATTAATCCTGAAGAGTCATTAGTGTCGTGTTCCAACCAACTCAACCTGCTGACAAAAGGCAATTCAGAACACCTGACCCCTAGCTATGCTCCACTTGATGGAGAACCTGATCTCACATAAGTGAATGTGCATGACTTAATAAAAACATTTGGCCAAACTGTCAGCCTAACAGGAGAAAAGAGGGCTTTCATGGGACCACAAAGATGCCCAGAATATCATTATGGGGATAGGACAGGGAAGCAGGATCTATCACAATGGCTAAAATGAAAAATTAATATGTAAACAGTCTATCAATATCAAGGGTCAGTAAGGACTTAGAGCAACTGGAGATTCCAGACATTGTTGGTGGGAACACAGTATAGTAAAACCACGTTGAAAGGAGTTTGATGGTTTCTTATGAAGTTATGCATACACTTACATGTGTCCCAGAACTACCTAAGAGAAATGAAACATATGCCCATGAGAATACCTATATGCAAATAATTATAGCAGCTTTATTCATAAACACCAAAAATGATAAGTAAGTGAAATCCCACCAATTGGTGAATAGATAAATTATGGTACATCCATACAGTAGAATACTACTCTGCAATAAAAAAAGAACAGATAATTAATACATGCAACAGCAAAGATGAAACTCAAAACCATTAAGCTAAGTGACACTAGACACTGGCTCCTTTCATATTTAGTGGAACTCATCTCTGACACTCCCCAGCATATAAAGGGGAAAGAAAATACTTCTGTAGGAAACAAGTCATTAGGGATTTAAGATCACTCATAAAACAAATCACAGTATACCAAACTGTTATAGTACTGATCATTTAGGAATGATTGGTGATTTTGCATAAGAATTTTTTTAATATGAAATTTATTGTCAAATTGGTTTCCAAAGAACACCCAGTGCTCATCCCAACAGGTCCTCAATGTCCATCACTCACTGCCTGAATATGCCTGACATTCTATTAGGCTGGAGAAAGCAGATCAGAGAGCAGATCATAGAATTCATTCGACTAGCTCAGTGACTCAGCATGTTTATGGAAAGAAAAGGATGCCAGATGCTAAAGTGTATTTCATGACAAAGGATAATGAAAGCATGTACCCTTCTGTGGGCCTCTTGATGCATATACCTACAATGTACCTAAAAATAAAACCCTTCATCTTAGTTGCAGACGTGAACTTTGGCAGCTATAGTCTAAACCCCTTTGGAAGGCTCTGGGGCACAGGGAGGCAGAGTGACTAGGCCAAGATCGTAGAGTTCAGGAGTGAGAAGGCATGTGGATTATGAGCCAAGTTGGGATCCATAAAGCCAAATGTATTTTAAAGTTCTTAAATACCTTATAATTCACTGAAGCTGCTATAGAAATTAAGGCCTAACTAAATAATTTTATTTAAAAACAGTAAACTACAACTACCTTTGGGCTTTTCTCAAATATTTAACTGACCTTTTGTTCACATGATTCTTTGTATGTACATCAATAATCAAATTGTGCACTCACTGAACTATGATTTCAGTCACTGTCAACATGAATTGAGAACTAAATGGATGTTACTTGCAAAGGATGATAAACTATGGGTAAAAAAGTTTATTTGTGTAGGTCTGATGGTAAGTCATACAGTGAAATAGACCACAAAAGCAAATGGCTTAGGTTGGCTCCTTCAATGCACTTTGCCTCACCAAACGTTGATGCCCTCGCTCACAAGGTAAGTGTACCTAATTGGACAAGAAATCTTTATCAGCTCTGTCCAGTGTCTCTAGTTCATAGAAATCAATGATATAATAGTTCCTTCCCTCTAAGCTCTCAAAATACTGACATTCGTTGTCTCCATAGCTAAGACCCGCAGATGTTGAAACATGGATTTGTAAAAATCTTGGAGATCATGCAGTCCAAATCATCATTTATATATGGCCCACTCAGTAACTGTGCAAAGAGGCTGAACAAAGGTCAGATATTTGCGGTGCTATCATAGACTTCTCTAACCTCAGGTTTCTGGAACACAGTTGAGCTGTGTTTTCAAGTATGACCCGATTTCTGAATATCTGGCACTTTGCATATGAAATGTTGCTTTTTATGTATCTCTGATCTACCAAGAGAAAAATTGTAAAGGTAAGTTGCAACCCAAACAACAGAGAACCAGGGTGTCTGGGTGGCTCAGTCATTGAGCGTTGGACTCTCAATTTGGGGCTCAGGTCATGAGCTCACAATTTGTGACATCGAGCCCTGCGTCAGGCTCTGCGCTGACAGTGCAGAACCTACCTGGGATTCTCCCTCTCCCTCTCCCTCTGCCCTTCCCCTGCTCTCTCTCTCTCTGTCTCTCAAATAAATAAACCTTCAAAACAAGAGAGAACCTTGTTACTTTTTTTTTAAACTCAGAAAACAAACACCACTTAAGTGTCCTCTTCTTAGTAAGTTTCAAGTTGGCTTAGGTTGTAACTAGTAACGACAAGTGTTTGCACCCTTAGTCATGTACAGGGCAAACACTGTCTAGGTGTGCTACTCTTCAGTTCTTCCCGGGTCATACTAACTAAATAACTAGAGACATTTTTATGCTCTAAAATCTAACTACTCATATTGAGTTAATTCTGTATAAAGGATAATGAAATCTACATTTCTTCTTGTTCCGTTATTACATATACCATATATGTTGTAGGTTGCTTACAGAGGGGACTCTGCAAGCATTAGTGTTACCCCTACCTATCTAGACGGCCGGAAGAAGAGTGAGATGCCAGCCATTTCCTTCCTAAATGGTTGCCAAAAGATGCAAAGTTGGTTGAGAGCGCACTATATGCACAGTTTTGTGGAAAGTAGGGGAATGGCCAAAGTGACAGGAAAGGGCAGATGGAGAGAGTGGATGTTGGGTCATGAAGGCTAGATGAAGAGAGCTTTAAAGACATTGGAAGCAATAAGGCAAATTCGAAAGAATAAAGGAACAGAACTTGGCAATTAGAACCCAAAGGCAATCTGAGTGTTGCGGGAAAACACGCCAGCTGTCGTTTCTGGCTGTGACCGAGCTTTGCCCGCAGCCGACGCTGCCTCTCACCCTTCATGACTCGGTGAAGCCCCCCAAACTGCCCGCAGAGCACCAGTGTAGCTACTCTGTTGGAAGCAAAGGGAAATGCAGAGGGGAGAGAGCCAGGGCGTACTGTGTGCTCCCTCCCATGATTACCGATCTTCAGAGGGAAGGACAGAAGCAAGACCTGCCAACATTGCTTTGTGCTGGTGTGTCCAGGCAGCCCCGAGACCTTCTTATTCCTAGACATCCATGCTCAGCATGTCAGGTCTTAAGGGAATCACTGTAAAAAGGGCCTCAACGTGTGGAGGATAGAACTGTGTTTGGGCTCTGACTGTGGCACTTGGTAGTAAATACTCGGTATCTTTTGTTATTTCAATTCAAACATTTTTTAAAAAATTTTTTTTAACGTTTATTTATTTTTGAGACAGAGGGAGACAGAGCATGAATGGGGGAGGGGCAGAGAGAGAGGGAGACACAGAATCAGAAGCAGGCTCCAGGCTCTGAGCCATCAGCCCAGAGCCCAACGCGGGGCTCGAACTCACGGACCGCGAGATCGTGACCTGAGCTGAAGTCGGACGCTTAACCGACTGAGCCACCCAGGTGCCCCTCAATTCAAACATTTTAATTTGACTTTTGGAAGCAATGAAAGGCTTTACCATCAACTCTTTTGTATGTAAAATGGTCCTAAATGCACTAATATTGCCATATGTGACTCTTGGGCATTTGAGATGTGTTTAGTCCTTATTTAGATAGGCTGTAAATGTAACATACACACCAGATTTTGAAGTCTTAGTACAATAAGAAGATAATATAAAACATATTGTTGACAATTTTTGGACAGATTCTTTGTTGAAATAATATTCTGACTACATTGGATAAATCCAAATGTATTGTTAAATTAATTTTAGTAGTTTCTTCTACTTTTTAAAACGTGACAACTAGAAAATTTAAATTACCTATGTGGCTCGTATTACAGTTCTACTGGACAGCAGTTTTCTTCTTTTATTTCTTAATTTTTGTTTTAGTGTTTTATTTAATTTTGAGAGTGAGAGACAGACAGAGTGTGAGTGGGTAGAGGCAGAGAGAGGGGGACACAGAATCTGAAGCAGGCTCCAGGCTCTGAGCTGTCAGCACAGAGCCCGAAGCGGGGCTCAAAACCACAAACTGTGAGATCACGACCTGAGCCAAAGTCTGACGTTTAACCGACGAGCCACCCAGGTGCCCCTGGACAGCACTTTTCTAAAGTCTGTGACCCCGAGCCTGGTTTCAAGTGGGATTTTCCTGATTTCAAATGTACTATAAGTCCCAATACAAACTGCATGTATTCACCTGTCCCTTTTTTTTTTTTTTAAGTTTGATTTATTTATTTTGAGAGAGAGAGAACACGCGCAACCAGGGGAAAGGCAGAGAGAGAGAGAGAGGGAGAGACAGAATCCCAAGCAGGATTCCGTGCTGAGAGTGGGAAGCCCGATGGGGACTCAGACTCAAGAACTGTGAAATCATGACCTCAGCTGAAATCAAGAGTTGGACACTTAACTGACTGAGCCACCCAGGCACCCCTCACCTGTCCCTGCTTAATGTCAGCAAAACTGACTAGTTTAATATTATCTAATGTTTTCATTTTTCATTCATTTTTTCCACACATAATTACCAAACACCTACTAGGTGCTGAGTCCTGGGCTAGACACCAAGGACGCTGTTTTCTAGGAGCTTAAGTCAAGGGTAGAAGGTAGGCATGAATCATATAAATCGCACTGACAAACATTTTGTGTACAACTGACCCTGAAGAGAAGAACACTTGTGCCAGAGGGGCAGTGAGATATGAAGGACGGGACGACTTCACTTAGAGGGGAAGGGGAGGCAGCCACAGACACTTGTGGCCCACAGGAAGGAAGGAGGACCATGCAGCCCCAGAGCTGAGAAAGAGGAAGAGAAGAATCCAAGATGAGGCTATAGAAGGAAGCACCCAGAACCTTGTAGGTAAAAACAGGTATGAATTCTGAGACCTCTGCAAAGCCTTCTATGGGCTTTAGGAGGACGTAACAAGATCATGTTTACATTTAAAAAAATAACTTTCTACAGAGAAATATCAATAATGTTTCTTTTTTTGAGAGAGAGAGAAAGAGAATGCACACATGCGTACAAACGGGAGGGACAGCGAGAGAGGGAGAGAGAGAATCTTAAGCAGGTTCCATGCCCAGCGCAGAACGAGGCAGGGTTTGGTCTTAACTACTGTGAGATCACGACCTGAGCTGAAATCAAGAGTCAGATCCTTGACCTACAGAGCCACCCAGGTGCCGCCTAATAATGTTTCTGAATAAGAAAAAGTTAGTGAAATAATTAACAATGGAAGGTGGTTCCCACTGCTCCTTTAATTACTTGTCATTAGCTTAAATGTTGAGAAGTTTTTAGGTCTTCTTGATTAATTTGCTGGGGATAACTCTAGTTCCTAAAAAAGACAGAGGCATTTAAAGGGTTGTTTTGTGAAGTCTTGTCCCACAGAAGACTGGTTTCACAAATAGCCTATTTAAAAAGAAAAACTTTTAAGGCCTTGGCTTCCCCAGTGCCTTCTTCAAATCATGTCAGTTATCAGTTATACCCACATAAACTTAACAGTTGCAGTGTTAAAGGTCTAAAATGACTACCATGGGAAAGCATCTTCGATTTGGGTATGCACATTAAATCAGATTCCTTCTCTGTGCAGTTTAATGGGAATTGTTGAACAGATTGGTGACCGTCTCAACAAGCAGAACAGCATGAAAATAATCTCCTGCTAAGCTTCGTTTATTTCTCTGAAGTTGTGTTTTGTGAGATTTCTTTCATTTCTTCTGAAGTCCAGAAAAAAAGTACCAGGCAGAAAAATAACTCTGAAAAGTCCTTAGAAAAGTTCTGTTGTTCTTATCATTCAAACATGTGGCCTGCAGAACAGAGAAAGGTGCTTCTCCATCCCCACTCCATTAGTTGAGCAACTTTATGCCCAACTTAAATGAAAAATAAAAAGTCCAAGATTTAAAAATAACTACATGTTTTCTCAATGTATTGTCTCCTTGAGACATTGAATATTTAAAGCTACAGAGATTCATGAGACAGTTTTGTTATTACCAGAATAGTCATTGGAAAAGCAGTAGATGCCTAAGGAAACTCTAGGTATGGTACACACTCAGGGGGAAGACACCTCACAGAGTCCACACCAACCTTCTCTTGTCCATGTGGTGGATGGAGATGCTAACCTACTCAACATCCCCAGCAAGTTGGAGGGGCAGCTTGGAATAGAAACTGCCTTACTGCACACCAATCAAACCAGGATGTTTTAATATTAAAATGTTAAACAAAAGGTTCTGGAAAGATTTTATTCTAATAAAAATATTTAATGATAATAACAACACAGTCAATGATCATTGTTACCAATGAACGAGTATTTATTTAGTGCTCAGGCTTTGGGCTAAGTAAGCATGTATACTTTATAACAAAAAACATATAATCTATATAACAAATACTTCAACAGCCAAGCCCAAGTCCAGTTAGGTCAGAAAGGTCACTCAACCACTAGTGGTGAGCCAGAACACAAACAAGTCCAGGCTCTAGAATCCATGCCCTTAGCCACTCACTTTATTTATCTACCTTGAATATGAAGAGCAGAAATTGAATATACGACCCCTCGTGAGAAACCAGGTGGAAACTGGTAGAGAATCCTAGATTTTGGGGGCACCTGGGAGGCTCAGTTGGTTCAGCATCCAACTCTTGATTTCGGCCCAGGTCACGATCTCATGCTTCGTGAGTTTGAACCCCACTTCAGGCTCCGTGCTGATGGTGTCGAGCCTGCTTGTGACACTCTCTCTCTCTCTCTCTCTCTCTCTCTCTCTCTCTCTGCCCCTTCAGTGCTTCCCTCCCCCCCCAAAATAAATAAATAAACTTAAAAAAAAATTCTCACTCAATTCCAATGCTAAATAAATGCGTATTGTTTTAAAAATGGTTAGCTGTTAATATTAACTTCTTATATTAACATATACATAAATTTTCTTATATGAAATAGTACTTAAAAGTGCAAGAGGTGAGGTGCATCTATCTGGGTTCAAATCCCAGCTCTGGCACTCACGAGCTCTGTGACCTGAGCAAGTTATTTTAACTCTCTTTCCCTCAACTTTCTCGTGTGGAAACTGAGGATAATAATTATGCCTCTTTCACAGAGTTGCCTAAAGGGTTAAATGACTTCACTTATATAACAAGTATGATGCGCAGTGCTTGGTACGTAACTCAACGCATGCTCCCACCAACACTACCGCCATCGTCATCAAAATCATGGCAACACCTTCATTATCGCCATTGTCAGCTTACTGGTACCCAGCATAATGCCAGGTATACAGCAGGCTCTCAACAAATGTTGAATCGATTTCAGTTCCTAAAAATGTATGCTGATTGTTTCTTTAGCCTAAAATGTGCACAGATGACTTATTACTCATTTATCTACCTGTACCTCTCTCTAGACAGTAATGTCAGCAACAAGGACCAATTTTGCCTATAATTGACTTCATTTCATTGAAAGGAAAAATGAATAAAAATGGAAGTTTTTTCAAATGGACTGGTTAGATTAGCCAAAAACAAAATCAGCGGCACCACTAGAGGGAGCTTTATTCAAACGTTGCCAACAGTCAAGCTGCCACCAGTACAGGATTTTTGACTGCTCGCCTAGTCATTCTGCTTCTGGGAGGATCATTCATAGGAGAGACAGACAGACAGACAAACTTTCTCGAAACCAGTTAGAGAAAAAAAAAATTGAAGAAGTGAAAATACTTCCAGGTCTTTAGAGAGAAGCTCAATTTTCCCACTGTCCAAGAGGGAGAGTTACCAGAAGTGCTTTGACCCATTCTGAACAATGAGGTTACCTGCGTCTTTGCCCCTGTGCTGTACAGGCCAGCCGTCCTTCCCATGGCAGCGGCGCTTGGTATGCAGAAGAAAAATGAAGGAATCACGTTGCTGAGGCCGTGGGCCAAAAATTCCTACAAGATGGATAATAGGAGAATATACCATTACTCAATCACAATCAACTTTTGGTGACCACAGGTGCCTCCTGTCAAAGGATGAGGCTTGTTTGTATCCCATTTCTGTTCTCCCCATTTGTTGTGACTTAACCACCACTACAAAAATAGCTGACTTTTATAGAGTGCTTACAATGAGCCAGAAGCTGTTGCAAGCATTTTACTCATTTAATGCTTATAACCACCTTATAGGGAAGTACAAGAATTTATGGTTTCTGTTGCCCATTTCTCCTCCATCTTTTAAGTCACGATGTTCAAGGCTTTTGCCCCCACCACTCCACCAATGACACCCCCAAAGCTAAATCCAGTGGTTAGATCTTACCTACTTGGCCTAAAAGCGGCATCTGAGATAGTTGCTCACTTCCTCCTCCTTAAAGACTCCTTCTAGGTCCTTCTAGGACCTCACACTCTCCTATTTTCCTCTTATCTCCCTGACCACTCCTTCTCAATTATCTTTATGGTTCCTTCTCACCAAACCAATCACAAGTATGGGAGCATTTCTCTCTCTGATCCTACGTATCCAAATATATGCTGACAACTCACAAGTCTACATCTCCAGCCTGGACCACTCTTCTGAACTCCAGACTCATATGGCCAACCTGCTTCTCGGCATTCCATCTGGATGGCTGACAGGTATCCCAAACTTAACTGAATCTGGTTTATTGCTGTCCACCATCCCCAGTCGTGTCCTCCCACATTCTTCCCCACCTCAAGTTCCAGTTGCTTAGGCCAAAAGCATTAGAGTTATTTTTGACTCCTTCCCCTTTTCCCAGACAGCATCCACAACCAATCCATAATCTGTCTACTTCTTGTCTCCAGCACTGCTACATCCAAGTCATCAAGTATCACCTGGATTATTGCAACGGCCTCCTAATGTTTACCTGTTTCTGCTCTTGCCAGCCAACAAAACAGACACGTATGCCTGTCCCCAGCGAGCCGGTACTCTAATTAGGGGATGCTGACAGTAAACAAGAATAATATGAAAAGCAGAGCAGAGAAGGAAGTGGAAAAATCTGGTGTTAGATTTTGGTGTACCAAGGAAGGCCTGGGAGGACTGAGATGGAGAAAGACATGGTCTGTGTTATACAGCATTGTGTCCCTTGTTCCTAGACCAGTGCCTGGTACATGGTAGAGCTCAATACACATCCGTTAAATGAATAAATCTGCTTTTTTGCAGATGACAAAACTGGGACACAGAAACAATTAAGGGCACATAGTGTCGGAGTGAGATTTAGACACAGGTAATTTGCCATTCTTAACCACTATTCCACAGCTGTCCCTGTCGACCTGTGCAGGAATGTAGGGCCATAAGGCTTGAAAGAAGAAACTAGCGCGAGCAGATTCAGAAATAGGATCAATAAAATTTTCATTCTTTGGTATTCTTAGAATAAACCCTTGTACCCTTTAGTTTTTTACTAACAAGAACAAGTAATATTAATGAGCACTGGGTGTTGTATGGAAACCAATTTGACAATAAATTTTATATATTTAAAAAAAATAGAAAGGCAAAGAAAAAAAAGAATAAGTAATATTAGTGTTTTTGTTACTTTGAAATTCACGGGTTTTTTTTAAGTCAGAATGCAATGATAAATATATGTAGATTCCCTCCTAAAATCAAAAAGGACATCAAGATGTCCCTCTTCCTAGGAGAAAAAATGATAAATTATAAACCAACCCATGAAGGCCAGATTTTCAGCTTTCTATGGATGATTTTTGAGATTTTCTGTGTTCTACCCATTATTGTTATACACTTAGGAAAGTGACATTTTTCATAAGTTCAACGTTCTCAGGATCTGAGTAAAGAGTACCATGATACAACAGCTGGGGAGAGGGGCTGGGGTATACTCCACCTGGTTGTCATCAACTGAATATTTGTATTTTTTGGCAGATCCTTGAGCAAGAGCCAGGGAGGCCACGTAGCCAACAAGTGCCACTCCAAAAGCTTCAGTGATTACTGCAGAGAGGACATTCATTGGGGGAGCTCTAGGTGGAGGGATTCTGTGGAAAGAAAAACCATGCTGAAGTCATCAACTTTCATGTAATTTCTGTAACAACTTGCAATGAATTCAACTGTGGTAATGACTATGAAGTTTACATAGAAAAAGTGAAACACCCGTGTGAAAACCAAGCAGCCTTGCCCTGAGAAGCCCTTTGTTTTCAATATTACTTAGCAGAAAAGCAAAATCACAAGGATCGCCATGGCGACAGCTCCGTGCGTCCATCAGGCATTTACGCCCAGGGAATTCAGGTTTTACACTACAGAAACTCTGACTCAAGGAAAATGTTCTGTATCAGAACAAAAGCAAATCTGGAGTGTTCTTTCATTCGAACTTTTCCAAATATTTAATTGGCAGGCGTTAGAGACTGTACTTCCTGCCCTGAGTACTACAGTGTTGTACAAACAATGGTTTATTGTGAGCTATAATTCTTGAGCTAATCCCTAACTTTGCCATTGAGTTCATAATCTTAATTATGTGTTTAACTCAATCCTTTCACAGTACACTTCACTATGCATCACATATGTGAAGAAAAATGTGGATAAAGGCTCCATCTACCCTCTGTTGTGAAATACAGGCCACAGTTAGCTGTTTCCCAGTTTTAAAGAACTGTTTAAATTATTTCTTTCAACTAATACCCAGCCATTGTCTTACTGTGTTTTGAAAAGCACTTGAGCCAAGGTATCATTGTTGATTTATATCCCTGATGATACTTTGGAAGACTTACTTCCTCTTCAAAAACAAACAAAAAATCCCTCTGGGGAAAAAGTAGGGACAAAAGGGAAGATAATTGATGTTGACTTAATACCTAGCATGAAAGTGGAATGTTCAACCCTTTCAATTAGCAGTTTCATTGTCCACACAACCCTAGACCAAGCGCCACTCATGCACTCTGGCAGAGAAAACATTTTAAGAAAGTTTAGGTAATGCATCTAAGTCACAAATCGAATGGTAGAGCTGGGGTTCACCATCTCTTTTCAATGCCACACTCTTTCTATGATTCCTTAAGAGAATGGGTCTAGAAAGGTCATTCAAAATTAAGGAGAAATAAAGCAGTGGGGGAGAGGTGTGATTTTTTTTTTATCCACTAACTAAAGTTTACCCCCAAGAGAAATTGATCTGTAACATTACAGGCCCTAAGATATCTTAATATGATGTACAAAGCGTTGCCATTTCAGAGTATATGAATTTCTGTTTTCTAAAAACTGAGCTTGACTAATTATTGACAACAATAAGCTGACCCAGAAAGAAACAATAAGTTGACTTTTGAAGGTGGAAAAGTAGAGAATCCTGTAGAAAACCCAAGATGATTTAAATAATAACCTGTATCTACATAAAGGCTAAAGATAGTTGTTTTTTTCTAATTATCTTGATAACCTCTGAGAATTTTTCTATGTTCTTCCATTTTAATGTAATTAGAAACCAAAATTTTGGACTGGAAGATAAAAATACAGAGGACTCAACAACTGTAACTTTGCTGGACATTTATAAACACTGGTGTATATATAGCCCATTAAGAGGGAATAACCCAGGGGCGCCTGGGTGGCGTAGTCGGTTAAGCGTCCGACTTCAGCCAGGTCACGATCTCGCGGTCTGTGAGTTCGAGCCCCGCATCGGGCTCTGGGCTGATGGCTCGGAGCCTGGAGCCTGTTTCCGATTCTGTGTCTCCCTCTCTCTCTGCCCCTCCCCCGTTCATGCTCTGTCTCTCTCTGTCCCAAATAAATAAATAAACGTTGAAAAAAAAAAATTAAAAAAAAAAAAAAAAAGAGGGAATAACCCATAACACACCCCTCTCTTCCCTAAGATGTCTTTATGTTCCTTCAGACTATATTTGGATCATGTTTTGCCCTTCAGGGTCAACATTTCACGTTAACCTTCCTCTTAGTGTCCACAGGAAGGCTTTAAGAAACCTTCTCTGCTTTCACCCTCCCTCACCATTATATACCACCTAGGCCTATGTGCGGGGTTATTATTTCAGATGATGCTTCTGTACTTTTACTATGTATGAAGTGAAATAAAAATAGTCATAAGAATATGTGAGAGGAATAGGGAACAATAAATCCCAGGGCTGTGACCATAATTTGAAAGTTCAATGCCCTCCTTTTCCCCCCAAATAATATTTTAGTAAATAATTTGCAAATCTTTCACCTGAAGTCAGGCTGTATAAGATAGTCAACAACTTCCCTACTAATAGGCAAACAGTTTATGAAGTTACTCTTTCTCCATATGTGTATTATTTCTTCCTATTATTTTCAAGCAGAAATTAATTAGAATTTTGTCCTATAGAGAGCCTTTGAAAGAAATGAAATCCATAGCCACCTACCCCAAGTCCTTTCCTTCATCAAAACCAAACAAACCAACAAAAAAGGAAGAAAGAAAGAAAAAGACTACATTACCCTTTTGGAATATGACCAACTACTTCTAATCCATATGTGATTTCCATATTGGTACAATAACAAGCAAATGATGCAGCAATAATCTGTGTGGTTCCATTTGAAAAAAGAAAAAGAAAATTATTACTGGCCTCTCAAACACCTTGTAGCTATTTTCAAAAGTAAACATTGTTCATGTGCCCCATGATTGTTAAGAGTCATGTTGCAGTTGCACAGACTTAAAAATTAAGAAAACTTTAAAAATGAAAAAAATCCCTCTGAAATTTGTGAGCACTTGATTTGCAGCCTCAAAAATTAAATGGCATCCAACAATATGGCTTTTCTAATATCCTTCCTGATGTGCCTATCCAATTATGTCTGATTTTGAAGGGGCGCAGAACAGAATATAGGCGTGTATGTATGTGTACAGATACCACAACCAACCTAAATACCTGTGTCTCAGGACGTGAGGGAATGCCTTGTAACACAGCATGATTTCCCTCCATGACACCAACCTCTCAAGAGTTTGAGATATTGCATTAATATTCCTATATAGGTTAGTTGTCAGCGATGATTGACAGTCTCCTTGGGAAATTTTTAATTTTGAGCTTTCACTATTTCTTGAAGCAAAATATACTAGTTAATAACATGCTGGACTCACTGTTTTTAAAGTCATCTCCGTGGAATCTCAGGTGCCCTACACTCTGCTATTTGACACATGATAAGCAAGGTCAGGTCTCCTCTGCCTGTGTGCATAATCACCTGTAAAATGTATGTTCGGAACTCAGTTCAGCCTTTGTTTTTCCTACCATGCCACCCCCATGTTTTCCATCCATTTTCACGTTCTCTTGTCATTCTTCTGATAATTTTAGTAGGTACTAGAAATTTCACATGATTATGGCATCAGTTTAGATCTTATACACGACACTTTTTCTTTTTTGTCAAAAAGAGGCACATCAATTATCTATTTAAAGTACAAAGTTACCATATACACGGCCAGAAAAAAGGTTTAACAAAACCACACTAGCAAATTAAGACATATTTGAAAATTAATGCCCAATAATATTATTTTGTAGGGATTTTTCCTATCTGTGTATTTCTGTTCTGTGATGATATTTAACCAAATTTACAGAGGGTTTTAAAACAACAAGTAGACTCACAAAGCAAAACAGCCTTGAGAATGTTTTTAAAAGGCAATAAAACTATGCAGATTATACTGTTAAACATAATAAATATTGTGATATAATAGTGTTTTCTGATGAAGATAGCACTGGTTAAAAAGTCAGGCCTGTTAGGTTAGAATCAGAAGTATTAACATGTTCGAAAATCCCTAAGACAATTAATAAATTTAATTGCTAATAATTTCCAAGAAATATTTACATCAGGTCAGAAAATACTGTGAGATATAAAAGAAAATATACCATAGGCACAAAATATTGGTTCCTTCTTGAAACTGGAAGAACACACAAGGTGGAGGACTTGTAGCCAATATTAAAATCAAGGAATCTAAGTCGCTGAATTGGCTTCCAGACAACATCTTATTTCCTCACTGTATTTCTTTGACATGATTCAACTTCCTTTATCAGCCAAGTCATTGGTCCCTCTTCAATATTATTTTAGTATTATAGGTGTGTATAAGATGCGCACTGCCCTTAGACTTGGGCAACATGGGATACATGTCCAGGCAGGTCCAGTGCTTTAGAGGGTTCTAATCTGGCCCTCCTCAACCTGTTGCCCTTCTCATACAAGGAGAGCTTTGTAGGGATGAAGGGATGCGTCCAACTCGCCTGTCCCGGTCTTTCTGGACGACACTTTGGATACTCAAGAATTGATGATTTCCTGCCCAAATGGCCCATGCCTGCTTTCGGAGTATCTCCCCCAGATTCACCCTCCCAACGTGGCCCATGAAAAGGCCAAGGGACAGTTCTGGTGTGGAAGAGTGAGGATGTGTTTGGAGTTTAGACAATGGGACAGGAATAGCCACACATATACATACGAATCTCTGTCCCACCTACAGGGGACAGAGTCAGAGGAGGAAGAGGAGGGGCGCAGGCCAAAGAGCTGGCTGGCTCTCCCCAGGCTACCTTCTTCTAGCAGAACTGGAAGGAATGGGAGAATTCTCTATTCTGACCGTTCAAGGTAATCACTGTGGCGTTTTAGTCAAACTAGGAAAACAAAACCTGTTTTCTTTAACACGTTGGTCTATAACTTTTAAGTATTCAGGCCCGAATTAGCACTTTTACCTTGGCTCTTGCAAATATTAGGAGCAACCTTGTGTAAGAATTACCTCCCTCTCTCTCTCTCTCTCTCTCTCTATATATATATATATATGTGTGTGTGTGTGTGGATAAAAGATACTTCTTACTAGTTTTGCATTGAATAAGTAATTTTTTTTATTACCAGCTAAAGGGCCTTGTTACCTAAGGTTTGGTTTCATTTTTTTGTTCTCATGCAACTTATGTAATAAAGCTTCCCAAGATATAATAAGATTTCTTAATACCTATAGGACTTCGGAATAAAATGGTATGTTTCACAGTTGTTGCTGTGAAAACTAATAATTATAGTACCCTCCACTTTTATGGCTTATTTGAAATACACACAAACACACACACATTATATTGATCACATATGTTACACGCATCTCCATAAATTATCAGGAGTATAGAATCATCCAAGGTCTAGCTATGGAGAGAGGCCATCCATCTCAGTTCTACAGAAATATGTCATAGTCCTCAGAGAGCTTCCACCATGCTAAGCTTACATGTTTATGTAAACCTACACCACTTCAGCAATATGAATGAATATTTCAAGAGATGAAATGATTTAGACACCTCTTGTCCTGTACGTTATAACCCAAAGACCATTAAAAAACTACAGTCAGGTAATGATAGGTTAGTAGGCTGTGATTGTGTTAATATTTCATTTTCAACTTGTGCTTTGTTTAATTAAGAGTCCTCATTAGAGGCTCTTAAAATTTCAAAATGCAGTTTGTAATGCCATAAACCTTAATGTAAAGCATAATTCATTGCTTTGCCAGGTACAACAATGAAAAATATATTAGAGAACCAGGCCTGGCCCATGAAAATCATGAGTATCCTTTCAATAAAGCAAAATTAGGTCAGCAAAAAAGGTGTTAATAACTCTATCAATCACTAATGGACATTGGTCAAATGATAATACTTCTCTGCATATCATACAGATGCCACATTAGTAGGATGGGGTATCACTTTTTATAGCTTTTAGGGAGAATCATTCCAGAGATCTTCTGAGTCTCACCCTTAGAAATGTCTTCTTATTTAAAATCTGAAGCTATATGTTCTATTATTTATGTAAAAAAAATTACAAGCATATGAGAAATGCTGTGTAAATTGAAAACATGTGTGCCTCCTTTTTTAAAAAGTATTGACTCAAAATGTTTCCTGTTCTTACATTAATGTATAGCCCTGCAAAATTAGCCTGACTTTAATGAGAGACAGGAATAGTTGTGGGTTACTGTAGACAATAGAGTGAACCTCTGCAGGTTACCCCAACAACTGGCAAGCACTGTAAGGCAGAAGGCTAAATGTTGATTTCATACTTACCAAAACTAAATCGACAGGAAGAACAACTTTAATTTTCCTTTTAAACTGTTCATTCAGCTCTTTAACCAGAACAAGCACCACGATGCTCAGCAAGGATAACAGCAGTGCTTCCAGTCGGACAGACTTGATGTTTTCAAAGACATATGCATAGATCTACAGTGATAAGGAAAAATACAAACAAAATTCAGGGTCACCCACAATATACCAACATCGAAATGTGGCTCCAAATGAACTCAGTGATGTTTCACAAAAATATGTTAACGGATGGGGGGGGTGGAAACGTGGGATGTAAAGGGTGGCCAGTGCTGATCCAGAGCAAGTACATTTCATGTACAAAATTGCTTTGCCCTTGATTCTCCCATTAAACTCAGTGTTTGCTCCTTCCTACACAAGGACATGGCTAGAGAGAATGACTCTTCTGGGTCTTTCCCAGGACACTTCAATGGGCAGAGTGCTAAAACTCATTACCTACATGCAGATTCATCAGTGAGAGCAGTAAGGGGACATAGGCTCTTCCTCAAATTTCAGGATCAAACATGCACTCGTACTTTAAATATCTATGGATACATCTGGAGAGTTAATAGCTCTGCATAAGGAGATATTTGCATTTATCTGTGTCTTCCAAATTCTCTCTTGCAAAGATATAGCACTTGTATAATTTTAAAGATTTTAAATAGACCTTAAATGCTTATCTTCAACATGTCCCTTAACTCCTCCTTCTGCTGGATCATGCTATAATTTTTATAAGCTCATTTCTGTTTGTCCACAACAAATTCTTCAAGTCATTTCAGGTGATCTAAACTAGCTTTCACTCTAGCTCACACGCTATTCTCACAGTAGCCCAACTTACTGGTTGGTACTTTGACCTCTCTTTTTAGTATCTCAAATATAATTTAACCACAAGTAAAAATACTGGATCAAAATATTATGTATATAATGGGTCAAAAGAGCTTACATAGACTATGTTCCTTAGCATCTCCTAAAATTCTGCTCAGCAGGTTTCCTAATTACAGGACCCTCTGGTCCAGCGATCAGGAACATACATGAGGGATGTTGTAAAGGAGGTGTAAAGGAGATTCATCAGGCTAGCTGAACCTCAATTCAATATGTTAAATGTTACCATTAACACCGTAACTCTTTCAAATAAATAAATAAAATAAACTCAGCTAAAATGGAGCCTCACTAAGTGAAAGGGATCAGGGTATAATGTAGGTAATCCAGAATCCCAGTTTAAAAACAAAACAACAACAGCAAAAACCAAAACACTACGTGAATGATCAAATACATAAGGAATAATTAGCTTTACCTGTTATCTTTTTCATAGTATTCTATTTTATCCCACACTCTGAGGGTACTATAATCTCATAGTCACCTGCAGTGCAGACAGTATTTTTTCTGTCTCTTGGATGGTAATTGTTCACAGAATTCCTACAGCAAGTGAAGGAGCAGGTTCCACTTCCCATAATCACCCCTTACTCAACGTCAAGGACTAAAATCCAAAACGCTACTCAGTGAAATATTTTCTATAGGAGATGGGGTTAGGGGAATGTTAAAAAATTTTTGTCCAAATACATAGCTTTCTGATGATTAAAGGATAAAATTGAGAATATCATTCAGATGATTTGTCAAGGAAAAACACAAGGATCCAAATGTTTTAAAACAGAGGATTATTCCTTCTGTTTCATGCATGTATTAAAAGCATGCCCTTTTCCAAAGAAGACATCTAGATGGCCAACAGACACATGAAAAGATGCTCAATGTCAGTCATCATCAGGGAAATACAAATCTAAACCACACTGAGATACCACCTCACACCAGAGTGGCTAAAATGAACAAATCAGGAAACTACAGATGCTGGCGAGGATGTGGAGAAATGGGAACCCTCTTACACTGTTGGTGGGAATGCGAACTGGTGCAGCCACTCTGGAAAACAGTGTGGAGGTTCCTCAAAAAATTAAAAATAGATCTACCCCATGACCCAGGAATAGCACTGATAGGAATTTATCCAAGGGATACAGGAGTGCTGATTCATAGGGGCACGTGTATCCCAATGCTTAAGGCAGCACTTTCAACAGTAGCCAAATTATGGAAAGGGCCTAAATGTCCATCAACTGACGAATGGATAAAGAAGATGTGGTTTATATATACAATGGCATACTACTTGGCAATGAGAAAGAATGAAATCATGCCATTTGCAGCAACGTGGATGGAACTGGAAGGTATTATGCTGAGTGAAATAAGTCAGTCAGAGAAGGACAGATACCAAATGTTTTCACTCATATGTGGATTCTGAGAAACTTAACAGAAGATCATGGGGGAGGGGAAGGGGAAAAATAGTTACAAACAGAGAGGGAAAGAGTCAAATCATAAGAGACTCTTAAATACAGAGAACAAACTGAGGGTGGACGGGGGTGGTGGGGAGAGGGGAAATGGGTGATGGGCACTGAGGAGGGCACTTGCTGGGATGAGCACTGGGTGTTGTATGTAAGCGATAAACCACAGGAATCTACCCGTGGTACATTCCAAGAGCACACTTTACACAGTATGTTAGCCAAGTCGACAATAAATTATATTAAGAAACTAATAATAATAAATTAAAAAAATAAAAAAAATAAAAGTATGCCATGAGAGTGCCTATATGAGAAAGGGGAGAAATTTACTAAACTCCAAGCCATACCAAATTTGCTGTAATGTGCGTTTTGAGAACATGTGTTTGCAGTAATAAAAATGACCACCCCAGAATGAAAGGAACGACAAAACAAAACAAAAACAAAACAAAACAACAAGAACAACAAAAACCAGGGTTTTTATTGTCTGTCTGAGTGAAACTACAACTTGTAGAACAAAGCACATCCCACAAGATGCTCCAGAAGAACATGGGGGCGGGCAAAGTTTTGCTAGAACCAGCATGAAGAACACAACAGAAAAGCAGGCTGATGAGGAGCGTCATCTAATGACTGTCATGTGGACCCACACAAAGAAGTCACAGCTAAAGTCAGCTTGTAGGCAACGAGTGGCATATGGGGACAGAGATAGGAATAGGGATAGGGATACACATACACACACACATACTTACACATATTTACATATGTTCATTTAATGCAAGTCTAGGCATCCCAAGTACACATTAAAATTTCTCATTTCTCATATAAATCCAGCCATCTTAGAATGCTACCACACACTAAGCTTCAGTAGATAAAAATTCCTATTGAAGATCAACTTCACTTCTCAGACCTCTGAGGATCAAAGACAGTTTATATGTGTACAGATAAATAAATAAGCTATTTCATCACAGCTGACCAAACTGTTTAATAAAATAGGAGTTTAGCTCATTTTGAAACTATAATACTAGTTCTCTAAATGGACCATTTACTATAACTTGACATAAAATGAAAAATATCCTTTTGGGATGAGCACTGCATGTTGTATGGAAACCAATTTGACAATAAATTTCATATATTGAAAAAAAGAAAAATATCCATATGTATAAACAAATCCACTTTGAGGTGTTTTAAGGAATAAAAATAGACTATTCATAATACACCTATTTTTTCTTAGGTTCTTTACTGAAGCACTCACTAAACATTTGCGCACACACTCAAATTTATTTATATAATGTGTTTTTATCTGATTTGATCATTCTTAAGGTTTTATTGATGGATTCTCAACTTCTAGAATAGTGTCTGGCTGAGAGACACTAAACAAATATCGTTGAATGAATAAATACTTTGGCCTAATGTAGTAAAAATAATCATAAATCTGTAAAGAGGAGATTTTACTCTGAATAAGCAGAATGATGAAGAGAGGCAGGACCCAGACTCTTCTTTCCTCACCATCAATACCTGATCTACATCATATTAAGGGTATTTGTAGTTATCATTTATTTATTCTGTCAACATGTTTGTGTACAAGGCCTGGATCTAAATGTTAAAGCTACCGTTGCAGTAAATTTCAAGTAATTGATTTTTTATATCTGCTATCTGATCCCGATAATCAGATTTTTAATAACTCCACTTTTATAAGAATGAAGCAAAATCTAAAGCTAAAAAAAAATTCATATTCAGGATTCAGTTAAGGGGGTCATACCCTTTCAACAGTTTCACATTTATACAACTGTTACTGAAGTTCTGAACAAGGCCCTGTAAAGAAATACTTATAAATGAAGAAAAATCTAAATTATATCCATTTTGTTAAACTTAATAAGGCAAAGAGAAAGATCTTAACTTTTTAGAAATACTAATAGTATTCAAAACTAAATGGACTTTTGGGATGCCTGGGTGTCTCCGTTGGTTAAGCATCTGACTCTTGATTCTGGCTCAGGTCATGTTCTCATGGTTCGTGAGTTTGAGCTCTCACTGGGCTACGGGCTGACAGTATGGAGCCTGCTTAGGATTCACTGTCTCCATCTCTCTCTGTCCCTCCCCTGCTTGCACTTACGCTCTCTGTCTCTCTCTCTCTCTCTCTCTCTCTCAAAATAAATAAATGAACATTTTTAAAAAAAAATTAAGAAAACACAAACTAAATGGACTTTCTGTCCAATACTCAATTAACCAGAAAATTCTATCGACCAATTAACAGAAAACTCAGTCAACCAAAATATCCTTTTTGCCAGCATTCTGGTTGCTTTAGGTTTTGCAGTAATGAAATCTCCATGACAGAAAAAAAGGATTTTAATGTTTTAAGTATATAATGCTTCATCGACAACTCTTCAGTAGCAGCAATAAGTATATTTCTGAACTAGCTACAAAGGGACCACACGGAATATGCTAATATATATTTCTATGCCAAAAGGAATATAAAAACCTTTTAGTACTATTATTTGTTGTTCCTGTGCTATTTTTGTGTTAGGAATCTGTCATAAGTCACTTTCTGTTTCACTACAGAAACAACAGAGTGATAGTACAATCCTTAATAAATCTGTCAGTATGCTACTGTATAATAGGTAGAAAGCACTAATCTGTAATCCACGGGTCTTGATTCCCCCTATATGACTTTGAGTCTGTCATTAAGCACAAAACCAAGAATCCATCTAGAAAAAAATAGTAACATTCATAAATGCTTGCTACCATGTGTTCAGCCTGTGGTCTGAAAACACATGTGGCATCATCTGTGCACAGACATATATTTAAAATCCATCAAGCGCACTTAAGAGT